TCCGCAAGAACGTATGTCGGAGATTCCATTTCCGCCTCTCCGTATTCTATCTGGTCATCGTCCACGTCCAGATTGGTGCGAGTGGGCGACCGTATCGAGCTGCCTTGGAACAGGCTGGAAAGACGGCTCCGGGGAGGGGTGGAGGGCTCCTGCGCACGTATTATCTCTTCTTCAAGTTCATGGTGTAGCTCCGCAAGTTTGCGATTCGACGTGCTCAACTCGGATTCCACTTTTAGTCGCTGGTCTTTCGTGTGTTTGGGGTTCTTCGCCAGCAGAGCCTCGAGCATGTTTTCCGTTCCGGTTTTGATCTTCATTTCCTTCGCGATCTTATTCCGGATGGCAGCCTGGCGCTCCTCCGTGCTGGACAAATCGTTGTAATCGACGTTACTGCTTCCTCTTCGCCTGAAGGTGTCATCGGGTCGCGGGGTCGTGCTGCGGGAAGTTTTCATGCTTTTCAGTTCCGAACTGAAGCTGCCTGGTCCCCCGGATCCAAAAGAAGGGGCCAAAGAGCCTCCCCGTTGACCGATGGTCCCACTGCCTCCAGACTCCGAACGAGCGTTCCTCACGGACCTGGGAGGCACCCCCGGCCAGCTGCCATCCCCAGAGCCATCATCCTGGCTGGAAAATGACCGGCCATCACCCCCAGGACGGTGCTGGACCGACGTCGCCGAGAACGCTGAGTTATGTCCGGACGCCATAGATCTCCATCTAGCTCCAATCGAGTGTTTATCACCTATCGCGGGGAGAGTAGGTTGTGGGGGGACCACATTGGACGCCGAGAAGAAGACCGTCGAAGATCACCGAGGCAGCCCCGGTGGCGTTGACGATTGCCGATCGAGCGCGTTCAGAGAGATCGGGCAAGGCGGCGGGCACGTTTCGAGAGGGAAGGGAAGTGTCTATTGTTTCGGAGGGGGGAGAGGGGAGAGAGGAGAGGAAGAGAGGAGTGGGGAGTGGGCTGGCTATCGACAGGGGGTCGGGCGATCAAAGACGGTCGAGGTATTGGAGGGTGCGAACAAGATGCGAAGAAACGACAGAGGGCAAGCGGCGAGCTCACGGGCAACAATGAAGACGAGCTTATCCATCCCACGGCTGGGTGGTTTCAGGCTGGCTGCAATGCATGTCTTGGCCGCCCATTGTTGGCTGACTAACCAAGGGCCATCGCCTAAGGCTGCATGTGGAGATCGGCTTTCTCCATAGTTGACTTGGAGTCACATTTAATCCCTCATCGGAGTTCTTCCTTTATCACCGTATACTCTGCTCTATACAAACTACACTCTGCACTCTATGCCTACACGACTGCATTGATCTGGCGCAGGGATGGTTTTGCTTGGCTTGTGTCACTCAATTCCAGATCAAGGGGGAAGAAAGTTTCGCATACGGCTTATACAAATCGCCATAACTCAGAACGATCGCAAATTCTTGCTAGCAAAAGGGTTCTTTCAGCTCAGAAACCCTGAAATCATGGCTATAGACTATGAACGCACACGTGGAAATAGTACATAACATGGGAATGCGCCTCAAAGTAGCCATGAAGTGAGTGCAACAGAACAACAGATGATGAATTCTTATTTACTGCAGAAAAAGCCGGAGAATGGTGAATAACGGTGGGAATAAAAACAACTGCTAGAATTCCTGATGACGCTGTCCTGTGTAACATTCCTAGCAACATCTTCTCCTTTGAAAATTCATCAACGTACGGACATTACACAGGTTATGCTGCTCTCTAAGTCAATCGAGAAGAAAAAAGACCTTCTAACTACTACAGCTTCGACGCAAGGCAGAGATGCATTTAATCTCTGTGCAACCGACTATTCATGCCATGAGACCTGGGGCGAAAATAGAATGTTTGGGGCTCTTGTACTTGACGCTTTGAAGGCCACTTCTCGCTGCTAGGCCTAGCCAGAGCTACAGGGATAGTAGATATGTGCAAAGAGGCAGCACGAGGGCAGGACACTCGTTCACGAGATAGTGCGATCTCCGTACCAACAGCACAATAACGACATCGGAGTGGAATCAAAAACATCCGGATTCATGGTGCCATGTGGAATTCTTAACTTAGATGTTGCTGTTTAGCGAGTTGGGGTCTGGCCCAGTATGTGATTGCGGCGGAGGAGAGAATGAGTTGGAAGAGTTGTTGCCGACAACGTTGGTCTGTCTCATCGATCGTCGGATGTGATTGATGAGCGAGGTTGCGAGATCTCAAGACTTCTCCACGATGCACGGTCCATATGCAGAAGCTAGGGTCTCCCAGGATCCTTTGGTCGTCAGTTTTCATCACCCTTACGACGAATGTCAGTCGTGATGAGCCCATGATGTTTCCCAGTGCCCTCGGGAAGGAAGGCCTGATCATCTCAACCAAAGGCGCATGGGGGTCAGATGCCCTTCGTGGCGAACGAATGACAATATCATTAGACCCCGAGCAGACAATGAAGAGGGTCCCGTCTATTCTAGTCCGATGCAAGCAATCTGTGGATACTCTAAAGCATATTGGATTGGGCCAAATGTCAGAATATATCTGATTTTCCGTGGTGAGGCCAGTGTCAAGCGGCCAGAAAATGATTACTCAAGTCATGTTTCCCACCAGGAACTGGATCGAACCACGTTGATGAGGGATTTAGTGCCCCGATGCAAGCCCCTCAGGAGATTAAGTTAGTTTATGATTAATGCAATTCATGGTACCCGACGGCCAGGAGGGCGACAATCGGGGCGGAAGAACGATTATGCGCAGTAACTACTCCACGACCATGCTGCTTTCCAACGTATTTACCTCAGTCATCCAAACACTTGTACCTCCATGACACTCCGCGGCTCCTGCTGTCTAATTGTACGCTGAATTTGGACAGCCCAATGGAGACTTTACCAGCGGTCATCCTCAGAGTCACAGTCGTTTCCTATTTCACCTAGTCCATACATTCATTCGTTACCTCGGCATGTCCGTGACCATTCGTTCCGAGATCGTGGATCTTGATGGGTTGATCCCTAGAGCCGTGAACAAAGAATGTGAAGGTATGGGATGCTGTGTCTCGTCTGGGTAACTCACTTGTGTCTTTCTGATCCACGTCGCTAACTGCTGATAGACATGGATGTGGCGGGGTTAATCCCTTGGATATTTCGGAAAAGCGATGTCGCGACAGAAGAGCACACCGTAGAGTGGCCGCAAGACGAACTGAGCTTCCGGGCCTTCTTCTACGACCTCGGCTCCTACTTTAACGGCTTACAGGGCCTTAACGCAGGGGTCATCGATTATCTAAAAGCCCTGGAGACAATCACTCTCCCCAAGACTAGTTGGGAAGTCCCAGGGCGAGAAGCTCACAGAGCCTTCATCCGATCACAGGGCTTGATCTTGAAGGCGCTGGTGAGAACTATCTACTTTAACCTCGAATATGCCGGGGAACCCATTCCCCGAGTCAAGTGAGCTCACGACCTCAATCCTCGACACGCTTAAGGTTCTAATTCCCGATTCAAGGTTTGATTCCGAAGTGATGCAGAAGTATGTGATGGGTGGTAAAAAGTTTGCGTCCAAATCAGAGGGCGCTGCCACCGTGAAGCTTCAAGAAGGCCACGTTCCAATTCTTTCTTTCACTGGGGTAAGTCAGCTCAGCACCACGCAACTCTAGAGCGATTTCTAACTTCAACCGTGAAGTGGTACGAAGGACAGACCTGGGACCAATTTCTGGTGGAAACCCTCAGCATAATGCTAGGACAACTTGCCAAGAACATCTCCCTACACCATGTCCATGCCGGACCTCAGGACCAGGAGGTCTTTGTGGTAGGCTTTCACGGGCGCTATGTTCACATCGCCCATGGACTTTTCCTGGCTGATACGATCATGAGAGTGCATTCAGAGGGCTGCTCTACGGATGAAGCTTTCGCCTTGAAATTTACTCGAGGCTATGATCTAACCCTGAAGGCCGACTGGCTGGAAGCCATGCGTGCTCTGGCCCGGCTGTTTAGATACCTCTTCAGTGGTAACGCCAAAGTTGGTGCTATACAGGCCTATCTGCAAACGAGGAAGGCTGCCGCCGCCGCCGCCGCCGCCGCCGCAGCGAGAAGCGAGGCTCAAATATAGACATGCTGGCGCTTTGTTCTTTTCTTCAATTTCCCCATTTCCCCCTCCCTTTTTTTCCTGATTATATTTACATACATCTGCTCGGAGTTTGAGGTCACCTTACAAGATACACATAGATTTCGTTTATCATTGTCTCTGTTTTCTTGCTGCCTTTGCGCCATTTGCCCACCCAGTGTTAGGAATAAATATGAATTAGACAACTTTGTTGACTTTCTTTTTCTACTTAATGGGTCCCGTTTCCTACAGGTGTGCTCGATTCCTTGAGCACGCAACTGTGGTACGGACATATATCTTTTAAATTGTTCTTGACCACTTCCGGTCCAAGGACACTAGTCGATCCTTGCAATATCACTGGGAGATCCCGCTACTACTATAGATCTTGGCCATCGGATTAAGTCTGGGACTTGGGACCAATGGCTTGATAATCAGATTAAATATTTCCTACACTATAAACCCTTAACCAGGATACCCAGCATCGGGTGACGAGGCTTGCATTAGCACGCTGCACCATTGTTTGCCACGTACTTCGAAAGTACGTATAGCCGGAAAGGCAAGGATCCAGTCAATCCATGATCATAAGAGCACTTGAGTAAACTGTTCCCCGCTGTAATCGCTTCTAGTTAACCCGAAAGACAATGAATGGCTGATAAGAGGCCACATAAATGAAGTAAGTACGCTCGGTGCAACAAAATGAAAAGAGAAACCCCGAAAAAGCCCGCTGGCCGAGTCGACTTATTAACAACGCCCATTTTCCGATGTAAACGGAGTTGAAGCGAAATCTCAAATGCATCAGTAGTGACCACAGCGCCTCGCTAACTTTTGAACCACACTTTTTTCTTGCTTTTTGCCTCTTTTTATCTGGTGTAGAAGGAAGGAAAGAGCAGCGTGCATCATATCATCCGATCATGAATTGTTCCTGCTTTTTTGAGACTCATGAATGTCCGGTCTTCTCAAGGATGGTCTTCATCATTTCGTTGCCGAGCTTGCTGGCCTCGGGGAATCGAGGAGCAAAGTATTTCTGGATACGCTCGAATCGATCGCGGTAGGATTCGAAATCACCGAATGAGACGCAGTCGGACCAAGCCTAGAAGTGAGACAAAGTACGTCAGTATTCTGTGGGTTGGGAAATGGCTATCACCATCGGGGCCTGGGGCGCTTGGCTTACCCTGGCCGCAAAGGTGAATTCCAAGTCATCGGAACGGAACGTCTTGTCATCAATGGCAGTATCGATCGCATTGTCAAGGAGTTCGGGATTCCGGAACAGATATTCTGTAACACCCAGCCACAAACGGAAGAGCTAAATTGGAGAGACTGTAAGCAAGATGTTGTGGCTGCAGACACTATAGAATCAAGTCAAGGCCACTCACAGGGGTGGAGCAAATCATGTGGTCGTAAGGGACGATGCCCAACTTGGACCAACAATCAACAATCGCCAACAGACTCAAGTGATTGTTCGGAGGCGTCTCTTCACGTGGCCGGTTTGAGAGAGAGAAACGGTCCAAAACCTCATCCTTCAGCAAAAGATCTTGGCCTTCGGTGCCTGCTCTGAAAACAGCTGCCCCGGCATCTCTAACTCGACGCTTAAGTTCGTCTCGGCGGCCCTCAATCATAAGCTTGTAAAGATCTGTCACAGATTCCGCATACTGGCGGATTTGCGTCTTAGCCGCCGGGTTCAGAATGGCCAGGCCGGCGTAAACGTGCCACTTGTTTGCGTAGATGCGGAGGGTGATGTTAATCTTGACGTTCTCGATACCTCCTACCCAACGCGAAATCTCCCAAGGAAACTGCTTGTTAGCTTGCCATGCAGTTCCCATGCTAAGGAAGGCAGCATGGGTAACCGCCTGGGTGTCCGCAGTAATGCGATCATGCAGTTCACCAGTCAGGTAGACATATTCGGATCCGAAACACGACAGGACGGTCTCCACGAACCGGAGACTCTCGTCCGACGCACGATGCTTGATGAGGACCTAAGGAGAAAGCAACATTGTTATTATGCGGGCAATTCCAATGTCACTCAGCATACGGAAGCATACCAGAGGTTGACCCTTGGGGTTGACTTTGGGCCCATGCAGCGAATGGCACGATACAATTTCTACATCTGAGGGAAGATGCTTGTCGAAGGCGGACAGCTCAGGAGCTTTGCAGGACGTTTGGCCGCCAACGATGGCGCCGACCTTGGTAGCTTTATGAATTTTCCACGAGTCAGACACCGTTCGAAGGGAAGGTATGGTAGCTTTGGCTTTGACGAAGACATACATGGGCCATATTCTGCCACTACCTTGTCAATAACTCCAGCCTCTACACTGTATATAATAAAATCGCTAATCCTTGAAACCAGGTGTCCATTCGGATAAATTGTAACACCTTGCTATGTACGATAAGTTAAGGAACAGCATGAGCTGCGGCCATAGAGACGTACTGAAGAATCAAATTCTTTTCTCAAATCTTCATAACTATCGGGCTTGTCACAAGCATTAATCCTTCATTCATGAATTTCAAGTTAGTATAAAGCTAGGACCGTAGTCTATCTCGCGTGAAAAAAGATTTAGGAATACGATATAAGAGCCTGGAATCCATTGCAAAGTCAGTCGATGGTCAACAGATAGCGTGTTTTGTGATTCAAGAAGCAAAATCATTTGGTAGTTCAGACAAAGAAAATTAAGGTAGCGAGATATTTACATCATCGACAACTCGGGTGTCACTAAGGCACCAGAATGGTACCAAAGCTATCCCCGAGTCATACTCGAGCCAAATGCACTCAAGTCATCATCCAAATGAGGGGCGGTGTGGGAAGGGGGAGAGAGAGGGGTGATTCATACCTATTATGACGAACGTCGAGGAGTTGGGGAAAGTGTCGTGGAATCATGAAAAAAAGACTGAGAGATTACCTCCACCCTGCTTGGCTGAGTAACTGAGCATACATTTTGCCCATGTCACCCATGCCAATGATGCCAATCATGGCATTTTCCTTGGTGAACCCCATACTGGGTAGGAAAGCTTTGCGACAGTTGATAGAGAGGGGACTGTTCACTGTATTCAAGAAAACAATCCAGATCAAGTGACAGTCCGGCGAAATCAAGACAGGATCCCACGCAGGACACACTGAGATTGACTCTCCTTCTCTTCTCGAGGTACACACGAGGAACTAGCAAAAGGGAAAACTGCGGGAAAATTTAAATAGCCGTTGAAAAAGTACAGCTCACCGCCTCTCGGACCGACTTGCCCCGGCGGGCTCCACCGGCGGCTGTCAAGTCACGGGCTCGCATTCTGGTGGCCTCAGGCGGCCACTCGCTTGGGCCCGCTCGCATTGAGGCTGGGCCAATCAGAACCCCGCAAACTGCCGGTAGGGCACACACCATTTTTCTGTATCTTCGATCTTTTGCACGCCCGTTTGATCTTCTCTCTTCCTTCCCATATTCCATTCCACCACAGCACATCAAAATGCCTCCCAAGAAAGCTCCCGCTGCCGCCAAGGAGAACGTCACTCTCGGCCCTCTGGCCGGTGATGGTAAGAATTCGAAATTTTCTGAAGTTTTTGCGTTTTGCGCATGGACTAACATGGTGGGTTTACAGGCAAGCTCGTCTTCGGCGTTGCCCGTATCTTCGCCTCCTTCAACGATACCTTCGTTCACGTTACCGATCTCTCGTTCGTCTCACCTTTTCTTTTTGCGCGATATTTGCGACAGGCTTCGATGCTTCGGTTCATGTGGATTTGATCTCCGGGAAATTTCGACGTGGATTGAAGATCGGGGCCTGGGATAACAACACCGACAAGTGCAGGATTGCTAACGAATTGACAACAGCGGTCGCGAAACCATCTGCCGTGTCACCGGTGGTATGAAGGTCAAGGCTGACCGTGACGAGTCCTCCCCCTACGCTGCCATGTTGGCCGCCCAGGACGTTGCTACCCGCTGCAAGGAGCTCGGCATCAACGCTCTGCACATCAAGATCCGTGCCACTGGTGGTATGTTACTCTTGAACACTCTGCCCCCGTAATATGATTCCATTTGTTCATATGGCTAATGCGATGTGCTCACAGGTAACGGCACCAAGACCCCCGGTCCCGGTGCCCAGTCCGCTCTCCGTGCTCTCGCCCGTTCCGGCATGAGAATCGGCAGAATCGAGGACGTTACCCCCACTCCCTCCGACTCTACCCGTCGCAAGGGTGGTCGCCGTGGTCGTCGTCTGTAGATATGTGCGGGTCTGTCTTTCTCTTCCAAGTTGTACGAATCTTCTGCAACGCTGGATTGGAGGCTACCAGCAGGGCTCTTGGCCTGTGTATGTGGATGGAATAAACGCGAAGAACGGCATAAAAGCCTGGTCTTCAATTTTTTCATGTCCCAATTGGTTGTTTTCGGCTTTGGGGTTAGTAGTTTGTGGCTTTCGTGGCAACTGCTCAGGTCAATATAACTCAAAACTGGAATGATGCATTCTTCTCAATTTATATGTAGAAACTGTTAGTGCGTGTGATTAAACTGCCAACTTTGTAGTCAAGAACAGTCAAGACTCGAAGCGCGAGTCTTTATCATCGATTTGGTGGTAGGAGGGGCCTTTTTTATCAGGCTTTTATCAGAGCTAAGATAAGATCAGGTGCGGGCATTTTTTCAAATCTGCAGTTTGTTCCATCTACACCTTCTGAAAAGATTTGCCTCTGCGCTTTCATAATCTCACGTATTGAATTCAAGGGTAAATAATTCTCTGATAATTTTACTCATCCACTATCAGCGACCATCCCACATTATAGCGCCATCTGAGGAATACTTACATCTTGGGTTGACGTCAGGGCCCTCCGAATCGACATGCGACATAACGAATGAATTGGACTGAAACCGACACTCCCAATCAAAACACATCTTCCGCATAAATCTTACCCTTCGATATCTGTACCTAAGACCACAATCATATACCATAGTCGACAATCATGCAAGCTTCTGTTTCGCCATCCCCCACCATCCTGGTGCCCCACCTCCCACCGAAGACCCTCGTCGGCATCGACCTCATCACCTTCACCTCGACGCCGAATTTCCACGGAATCCGCGATCTCCCAGCCGGCTGGCATTTCCTATACACAGGAACAACAGAGAGTCTATCCCTCCGAAGCGGAGCCTGGTTCTACGTAGGCGACATCAACGCCGCCGGCACGACCGTCAACGAAAAGAACGCGATCACCGCCCGCCGCAATGACACCGGATCCGAAATCTATATTTGGAAATGGAGCACCGACAACGAGACCCTCGTGCCGTTGCTGAGCAACAGCGATGCAGATAAGCGGGAGGCAATGCGGTACAAAGCGAACCTAGCTGCTGTTTGGCAGCGCGGGAGTCTCTTTCGCTATCGCAGTCGGGTCCCGCCTTCTTCTATTTCGCAGCAGCATTACAAGTCGGGGGTTCAGGCATCGGTGCCGGATGAGGTGGATGAGGAGAATGAGGAGGAGGGGAGGAGGGATTGGCAGGGTCTGACGGATCGGATTTCGCCGAAGCTTCTGTCGCGGATCATCGGGGCTCATGAGGTGGATGTGGATGAGCGGCCGAGATGGACGGTCACGTCTGCCAGTACGGCGAGGAGAGACGACGATGATATTCCCGGCATTGAGAAGTTGCCGGAGGAGTCGGGAAATTCGGCGGAAGGAGGTGAAGGCGTGGCCGTGGAGCAGGAGAGCGAGCTTTCGTTCTTGCCTATTGATCTGAAGAGAACGTGGAGAGAGGGGGCTATTGGGCGGGAACGAACCGAAGCGGCTCAGGACCGATCCTGGGCGCTAGGGGATCTCATACACCAGGCGGCTGGTACCACCGGGGGTAAGACGGAGGTTGATGAAAGGCTCGGACAAGAGCAGGTGCTGGGCGAGTTGCAATTCACCTTCCTCATGATCCTGACCTTGATGAATTACTCCTGTCTGCAGCAGTGGAAAAGATTGCTCGGTTTGATTCTGACGTGCCGGAGTGCAATCAAGGATCATGAACGTTTCATGAGCGACGTGCTGAGATTGCTTTTACTACAGCTTAAAAGATGCGACGATGTCGAGGGAGGACTATTTGATCTTGACGGGGAGGAAGGCGGAGACTTCTTGCGGAAATTACTGGTCAAATTCCGAAAGTCGCTGTATGATGTGGTGGATGGCGGTCCCTCTCCAGTGAAAGACGAATTCGAACGACTAGAGCAGTGGGTTAAAGAGGAATACGACTGGGAGCTGGATCGTGGGGTGGTTGTTCGACACGGTATGCTTCAATTGGAGGATGGCGAAGAGGTTGAGATGGATACGAACGAGGGCGACGAGGATCAAGAAATGGGGGAATATGCACCGGTCATTGTAGACCTTGGAGATGGTGATACTGAGGCCAGCAAGTATTAGCCATGTGGAAGCGATTGTATTTTGGTTTCTAGTTAAAATCTGAGTCTTTCTAGAATGCATTTATGCTTCAAACGAGCTGTTATTTATGTGATATTCTGTTATATGGCGATTAGGTCTAGATTGCTTAGATGAAACTAGATTAAGCCCAGGGCTTACGGAGTTTCATCCCCTCACCTGACTGACTTCGGTACTTGTCTCTCGCTTCCTCGTTTTCTTTTCCTTCTCCATAGACATCTCTCTTCTTCAACGAGGCATCTGAATTCTTAGAGTTATAGTCATCCGATCGGAAAGAAAAACAAAAAATCTCTATGGTCATTGACTGCTAACATAAAACCGGCTCCCTATCCAAGTATATACAATGCAGGTAATTCATCAACGTTTCGATCCGTCATCTCTGAGGTAAGACCTTTTATTTCTGACTCTCTCCCTCAATGACATAGGCCCATTCGTGATTCTCCTGGCCATCCTTGCCGTACATGATAGACTCCAGCCAGGACTTGATCTGGGCGGCGTATCCTGCGCGGTTGGCATTGGCACCCACCATGCTCATTTGAACGTCGCCGTTGCCGATAAGCTTGACGGGGGTCACGAAATACTAGAATCGAGTTAGAACCACCAATCCACACATGAGGACGGACCGGGGATGGAAGTTCACTTACAGCCGTGCCGCAGACGAATGCCTCAACGATACGTCCCTCCTTCCACGCCTGCTCCACGTCACCGATCGTGAACGTCTTTTCAACAACCTCCACCGGCGCGAGGGATCCATAAGCCTTGGTTAAGTGCTCGCGAGCCAGCTGGAGCACACTGCGACGGGTGACACCGGGAAGAATGAGCTGGTTCTCCAGAGGAGCGGTGACGAGCTCCAGTCTTCCAGTCTCCTTGTTATCCCAGACGATGAAGAAGTTGCTGGCGCCGGCCTCGGTCACCTGACGGTCCTCACCGAACAACCACAGCACCTGGTCAAAGCCCAGGGACTGAGCCTTGCCGTGTGCAGAAAGCGAGGGGCCATAGTTGGCACCCAGCTTCGCGTAACCGAACCCACCAGGCCAAGCACGGATGGTGTCCGGTTGCGACGCAAGGAGCTTCAATCCCGGCTGGACACCAGGCTCGAGCTTCTTCTTGGCGGGGTCGGGCCAGGGCACGGCGATGATGAAAAGGAGGGCCTCCTTGGGGGTCTGAATGCCCAGGTGCGGGCCGCTGCCAATCAACGTGGGACGAAGGTACAGGAAGTTCTCGGGTTTATCCTTGGGAAGCCAGCCTAGACACAATGCCGTGTTAGTTCAAACTCCAAACGAGACAGCAAATCACGGCGAAGAGGGGGTGAACGTACGGGGACCATCAATCTGGAGCAATTTGGCGATCAGACGCTTCAGCTCCTCGAACTTAAAGCCGGGCAAAGACGTTCTCTGACCACTGTTTACCAATCTCTCGCCATTAAGGTCGGGGCGGAACAGACGCAGCTTGCCATCGTATCCGCGGTAGACCTTCATTCCCTCGAAACACTCGGTGGCATAGTGCAGGCAAGAGGCCGTGGGGGGGATGCTCAGGTTCTCATACGGCTTGATCTCAGGAGTCTCCCAGCCATTGACATCGGTCCACCGGACGGTGACCATATGATCCGTGCAGTGGGAATGGCTCAGTTCCTCTGGCGAGCCAGGCGCGGGGACAGGTCGAAAGTTAGTCGTGCGGGTGATATTAACCACCGAGGCATCCAGCTCGGCCAAACATGCGACGGAACCCATGATGACTGTTGGTATAGAGGACGAGACAAGGTCTTCGGGGAAACGGAAGGGGGTATATGGTCTATATAGTCGAGGGAAAGAGGCAGGAGTGAGTCACTGCGGAGGTACTACTACCAAATGCGAATTTCCTTATAAACCGGCGATGACAATTGATGACAGGAACCTCCGACAGAGAAGGGAGAAGAATAAGGAGATAACCGACAAAAGATGGTCAGCGCAATCGGATACTGCCCGCTTTATGACTACGGCCTACTGCCTACTACGGGGCCTCCAAGGCGGGTGGGGGGCAAAAGAAAAGTTTTCTCGGGGCCGAGTTGATTGTCTGGGACGTTTCGCCATCGATATCCGAGCCAGACCAGACCATTATCTGCCGTGACCCGCGAAGAAACACTTCCTAGGCTGTCATGGAGTCTTTCCAGTCCAATTGGGGATTGTGATAGGCTCCCAGGACACAACGACGCCCTTCGACGCCCTTCGAGTGACAAAACCGCTTGGCCGTTTCTTTTCTGCCGCGACGTGCAGATGTCGATATCAATCGCCTTCACCGCCCACTCGGCCCCTCCTATCGGTGGAGGTCCCGACTCTAACCGACCAGGGTCCCCGGCTACCCGCGGCCTTCCCGGACCCCGAGATCGGAGGCCGCTTGTCATGTCAAGTCACGGTGTATACACAGGAGTATACACGCCTTAGTCTTACAAGGTGTGGTTGAATCTCACGCGGAACGATGACAGTTCGATGACATTCTCTTCATCTCATCATGTCATTGCCAGCTTCGGGTTTAGAGTTCACGTTCAACGCTCCTTGCCGTATAAACGTCATGCGCGCCCCTAGTGTCGCTATCTACACCGTAAGGACTGTGCAGTGGAAGGTCTGCTGCGTGCCACATGAACCCAAAAAAACTAACCCGTGGTCCTGTAGGGATGTAGAATCCCATATCCCTCACATCCAACCCGCCCTATATACAATACAAGCATAGTGCCATACAAATTTGGGTAGAGTTTCTTCCCAGTCCAAGGTCATCGCTCGTGACACCCAGATCTAACGGTTCCATAGAAATGGCAGAGTGTCAGAAGTATACTCGAGTTACTAACGGCTAACGCCAAAATATATCCAGCGTTAGTGTCGGGTAGATGCAGGATCTACACCTTCCAGAGTTTCCGTCTGAGGGCCCAGCAATCGACCACAGGGTGACACAGGATGGGCTAGGAAGTAATATCCGGGCGGGGTTGACCTAGTTGACATGGCTGACCTGGGGAGGGTGGAGGGTGTAGGGTTTAAGGTTTAGGATGGTTTGATGTGAAGCCCTAACTACTATATATTGGTCGACTATCCATCTGGCTCCTTGGGTTCCTTGTGCGTTAGAATGAGCAGGTGGAGGGCTCATGAGAAATTTTCTGTTTTACTTTCTTTGTTTGTTTTTCTTTTCTTTTTCTTTTTGGTTATTAGGATTGGGAATTCTTGTTTGGATCCCCGTTCTCGTCGCCCCAACCCGCTTGATCTAGGTAGTTGATTAACCCTAATTGGATGATCGACATCCTCTACAATTCCCAAGAGTGAAAATGTACTCCGTATGGCTCATTGTATCTTCAGTATCTTGAGTATTCACCATCCCGATGACCAGTCTCCAGGTGCCAGTGGCGTCTCTGCTGTCCAATACGCCTTACCGGAAAGTGGCTAACGAGAAGTCCAAGGAAAGCAAGAAACGAGGCTTGGCAGGTGACTCGGACAGCTACAATCTAGACTCTAGAAAATCCACGGCGTGCACGAAGTACACGATGACTTCATCTTAGAGGATGGGGAAAAGACTCCGCCTGACAGCCGCATGGGTAAGCATGACGGGATGGGTTGGACAGAGATCTGAATCCGCCCGTGCCTGAGAAGCAACCATTCACCAGCTGGCGGATACTTGAAGCCAGTTGGAATTCGTTGGACGTGGATGTCGTGATGGGGGGATCATGTGATGGCCACAACGTGATGGGCCCCCCCCAGTTCCAGTTCCAAGGATAACCTCGAGATGATCGACAATCCCAGGACGGTGTACCGCGCTGAGAACATCATCGCACCGAGAAATTGTTCGCGCTAAGAATCCCCGATAATGAACCGTAATCGTGCTCTCTGATTGGCCGTGACGACCTCGGATACATCATCGACGTCGCCACCCAGCAGCCATTTCCTCGTTTCTCATGATGCGACCATCCGGTCATCGTGCGACCTTTTTGGTTCATGGCAATAGTCATAGCATGGACGCGACGCAGGGAGAGAGAGGGGAAGACAGTGCGATACTTATGGCGGCAATTGCCTATTCTTGTTGGGCGCGCTGACTAGGGTCTTCCGTCCTTGCAGATTCGCTTGACACTTTTACCTGGTATCCGCAGAAACCTTTCCCACAGGGAACAAAGGGTACCGTTTCAAATTAGATCCGCGTCCAGAGGGTAGAGTCAGATTAATGTGAACGCCACTAGTCACTACGGATTTGATGTAATTCAGGATACGATGGTGGGCCTTGGTGGGAGCTAGGCCCGGGAACAATGTGGTCGAACCAACATAGAGGCAGCAACCCCCGGTGCCTCGAGCTAACCTATCCCAAGCGGATCGCCGGTCGGTGCTCTTTTCCGCCAGTGACAGTTCCCATGGCTTTCAGGCCGGCTGGGACAGCCAGCTTTGTCGCCCTTTTCCTGTCGTCTGTCCCCCTTCCCGCCCTCGCGCCTGGTGGGTCAGATAAGCTAGCCCCCTGGCATTGTTGTTTGCTGGATTTTTATGCCGAGATTTGCCATCCAATTTGGACGCGAAACCTTTGCCGCGTGATAACCTACTACTAAGGTTGCCAAAACCTGTCCTAAAACCTCGTACCGGAAGAGGATGCGGCGTGCTGATCCGCTCTCAGCCTAATCGGTTGGAACGTTGCTGGTGGATTCCTGGCATCAACACGTTTCGCGGCGTCGCAAGAAAACGTATGTAGGCTGTACTATATGGTAACGGCGGTGCAGGGGCCCCGAGAGGGCGTGTGTGTAAGAACGAGTACCAACGATGTAGGCCTTGGGCTGTCGGGCAGACCAAGCGAAGGATTCAAGCCCGCCATACCTTGTGCTAAATAGGCAGGTGTGCAGATGGACTTAAGACCGACGCCCAATGTACCTTGGGAGGAAGATTGATCCGTGAATCAGGACCCGAGCCGTTCAAGTCAATCATGGCTGGATGTGTCTTGCCATAACCCCACCCGCTAATCAACCGGGACAACCTCCAGAGAACCGGTCCTGATGCTTGTCTGCTCTCCTTAGCTTCACCATTCAGAGTGCTGTCATGGATGCAAATGGCGGCTCCAGGCAGCCTGTCGATGGCTGCATCCGTATCCACCGACCGTTCTTTTTCTTTCTTGAAGATGTAATCTGTTTCTTATTGGATGGTTCCTTTTCCCCCCTTTCTCTCCCTCTCTTGTTTCTTGTTTCTTTTCGCCTTTTCCCTTTTCTGGTTGGGGGGTTTTTTTTGCGCATTGGTTGGATTCTCATCCATTCTTCTTCTTCTTCCTTCTCCCCTCTCCGGTATAATAATTGTTCCCTGGCGATTGAGCTCCCTCGTTGTTGCAACATCCATCGTCAAATTCCACTGCCAACCCGACTTCCCCCGGGCAGACCCCAACAATCAACATCCCGTTACGTGTGGCTGACATAGTTCATGGCTGTTCGCCCCTTCCACGAAGCCGGTCGACGCTCTGATAGACGTTAAAAAAATCCGCGAGTCGCGAGACAAGGATCGAGAGGGTGCATAAACAAGAGTGCGATAGGGTGGCGCTGCCAGCAAGTGCGATTTGCTGCAGGCGCCGGTTTTCGAGATATTTTCTCCACGATCGTATCGCCACGTTGGTGGTCCTTTCGAAATCTTTGGCGAGCCCAGAATATAAACAACGCTTAGACCCTGTCCGAACAAGCGCGTATTTCTCGCCTTCACCGTCAGAAATAGACACGACCCCTCGAGATGAATCTGGAAGATCAAAGCAAGCACCTTCCGACACTCGCCCCGGGTCCTCGAGGTCCCGTTATGCACTCAGGGGCAACCATAACAAAGTCGAGAAAAAACTCCACCGCATGTCAACCCTGCAAGCAAGCGAAGAGAAAGGTAAACAATCTCTTTATTTTCGTCTTGAAAGAGAAAACAAGCAGGCACCGGAATTTGCCGCAACCAGGTGGGAGATAGGAGAAAAAGAGAGCGCCACGAAGGCACCCCCTCATTGGAGAACGGTTCTCTTAATCCCCTTGTTACACGCAGGTGCTAATTGTTGCTTCTTCGGATCACAGTGTACAGGACGCCCGCCACCTTGCAAAGCATGCCAGAATACCGAAGCCGAATGTGTCTTTGATGAGACACTCGACCTAAGACGCAAAGTCGCCGCTAAACGCACTCTCGGAGAGCTGGAATATTATCGAGGATTGTTGAACTCTTTGCTGGAGTCACTCAAATCTCCGGAGGACAACAAGATCCAGTACATATTGGATACTATCCGGCAGGCTCCTTCTCTGAAGGACGTTGCCTCCGCCGTAGATGCGCCGACTATGGATATGACCGATGCACCATCGGATAATTTCAAGGGAGGAGCTACCATAGAGGACGCCGTTGCTCAACATGAACGCCTGCTTGTAGATGTTCACTCAAGGATAACGTTAGAGAAGCTTTGCGATGTTCCCGTGCTCCGAGTGCCTGCCAAACCTTGGTCGAGAGTCACCGAAGACGAACAGCTCGTTTCGCATTTGATCTCGTTGTACTTCACGTGGGATCACCCACTGTCCCAAATCATTGACCAAAGAATGTTCATCGAGCACATGAGCAAGGGTGACACGAACTCAGAGTTCTGCAGCCCGCTTCTCGTAAATAGTGTCCTCGCAATGGCAAGTGTAAGGTGCCCCCACAACATTGACCTACCCGCGCGGCATATCTAATTTGATCGAAGGCATATTCAGATTTCCCCGAAGTCTTCTCCTCTCCCGGAGATCTAACCACGAAAGGCAAACACTTTTATGCGGAAGCAGAGCGACTGTGGATAGCGGAAGATGGGCATACGTCGTTGACAAATATCCAGGCAGTCGCTCTAATGAGCTGCGTGTATGTATACTCGAGCGTGTAGTCTGTTGCTTATATGCTCGTACTGATGACCCGAAGGTTGAGCTTCCAGACGAAAAGAAAAGCAAGCTGGCTAATGCTGAGGCAAGCCGTGCAGCTTGCGCAAGACTTTGGAATGTTCCAAGCCCCCCGGTCGAGCCATCAGGAGTGGAAGAAGACACGCATCGATGTGCAGTGTGCCGCGGTTGTAACTGCTTGGGGATTGTTTGCCCTGAACTCGTATGCACATGGTCTGGTCCAACGCGTTTCACTCATCCGCCGACTGACTTTCGAGCAGCCAGGTCTCCTTGGAATCCGGAAAAGTCGCAAACCTTGCACGCCCCCGATTCAAGCCGTTTACCCGGAACAAGCTCGACGATGAGGTTGCATGGGTACCTTATCCTCGCTCGAACCAGATAGATTACGACACAAAGCCGGCTTTGCTCGCGTCAGTCATGGCTCACACGACAGACCTGACAGAAATTGTAGTGGACATCCAGGATTTATTGTATGATAAGGCGCTCGACTTGAGAATGGAGGATACGTGGGTAGCGGCGAACAACTTATACACTCGTTTAGGGGCGTGGTTGGAAGGACTACCTGACGCTCTGCAAGTTGACGAGGAACAAATCCCGCAAATCTTGTACATGCAGTAAGGACGGACCCCTGTCTTGTCTTGTTAATCATTAGGCCTGACGTGTACTGCAGCATCAACTACCATTATACCACCATCTACCTGTCCGGGTTTTTCCTTGATCACGAAGGAAGAACATTACAGCCGGCCCAAATCGAGCAGGCCAGATTGGCCCAGCTGCAGTCGGCGAACCAGATCGCACATTGCCTTCGCATCCATCACGAGTCTTACGGGCTTCGACACGTGCCTCGACTGATGCTTGGGCCCACAAACAGAGGCGCCCTGGCCTTGCTCGCCGCTCTAGAGGATGAAGAGCTCAAGGAATCCTTCATCGAGTTGTGTCGGTTTTTGGTCGCTTTCAGCAAGAGGTTCTCGCAGGCTCAAGCCATGATCCACATGATCGAAAAAAGGGCCAGGCAGATGAAAATTGCATTGCCTCCCGAGGCTGTTGCCGTGCTCGATCACAAAGAGCTAGAGACTTCTCAATGGCTCTAACTTGCTGGTAACATGCCCCTTAACCCCTTGCCTTCAGTCGACTTTGCTGATTTGTTTAGGGAAGGAGGAAGAGACATAACGCGCCCGATAAACAGAATACCGACTCTCGAGCACAGCGGAAGAACGAACAGGGTGTAGTAGGTTGAAGGGTGGACGAAGAATCCCGGGCGCCCAGTCGCAGATAATGGCCTTCGAGCACGGAAGGTCTGATCAGGGCATGACTCTTTCTCTTTTTGGATTAGACGATACACAGTTAGAACTTAAATTGAATAGGGTCAATTTATTCAGTCTGACCCGACGAAAAAGAAAAACGGAAAAAGAGAAAAGCAAACGGACCAGGGTTTTCTCTTCGATGCGTAAGGTATGTATGGGGAGAGATGAAAGGGACAGGCGATTTCCCCCCAAAAGATACAGTGCGGCTACTAACGACTCTTTCAGGCCTGGCGCTGGGGGAGGGAGTTTGGCTCCCAGTGACCAGTAATATGTCTAGCGTGTCCTGGATACTTTATCCGGGGGATCACTGCCAATGGCAGTTTATCTCCGAGCAATGATGTCCCTAGGTGCCGTACCGAAGAATCCTGATTCTTGCCAGCGTCATTCCCGATCTGCTCGTTTGCCACTGCTAGAAAGGCCCTTGAACTGATACTGGCCACTCTTGTGCTGTTGGCATGACACGCATCCGGACGATCCTTGGTATGCTGCTCGGTTCCATCGCGTTCGTGAGCATCCCTGTCTTTGAGGCGGGAGAGGACAACGATGTTGCCGGTCTCCTGCTTTCCAGTATCCCGCCTGAGACCATTTCCTCCCTAAGTGGCAAATGGCAATATTAGCCACGAACTACAAGGCGAGGTGACCAATTAGGTAGACGATGCAACCGTCTAGTGTCTCCGAAATAGCCAAACCGATGATCAATATTCACTTTGCGTTGGGTGTTGGTTCTCGACTACAGACTATCTTCTACGATACTACTAGAACTTGACACTGGATGATCCATGTGTACATTAGTTACCATGCCTCACAGTAATTGACATAGTAATTACTACCTACAGTTGTAAGTAGTTATGGCTGGCTACGATGCTGCAACGGTGCCTGTAGAGCGGCAGCAAGGATGCTTCGGTGGACTAGCCTGCAGCTACTTGGCTTCCGGGACCGTGGAACACTTCGAACTGATCTTTCAAGTTAAATAAATAAACCCCAATTCACGTACTGGTCCAGTGTATAGTGTATACTGAGGCTGCCCTTGGGGTCACTTAAGCTTCCGTCAAATCGGCTTACCTCACCCATCCGTGCATAGATGACTCATCCCACCCCTTTTATGCACAGATAAGATAAGCACAAACCGTCCAAGCGAAAACCCTCAAAATTCGATGCGGAAACAATTGAAATCCCACACCCCCGACGCCGAAGAGCCACGCCGAACGACGCGCTCTGTCCCACCCCGACCTTCCCAGTCGACCGCCTCCTGGATATAGTTCTTGATTCACGGCAGTCCCTTAATTTTCTCTTGCCAATATGTCTTACGAAGAGCGCGCCAACGCGCACCCCAACCTGAACGACGAGTCCGATGTGGAGGAGGAAGCGCTCGTCAACGACTACCGTGAGCAGGTCAACTTCGACGATGGTATGAGTGAACTGGACCGCACGACGTCGCTGGGAGGTGGCTCTCAGACCCAGGATCTCCAGGCTCAGCTCGCTGCTGCTGCCACCCCGCTGGAATACCAGGCTACGCTGGAGACCAAGTTCGCAAGCTACGACAACTACTGCAGTCTGTTCCACTACATCCTCAACTCGGATGGCCCCGTGGAATTGGAGGTTCCTTCTGTATGTTCCTGATTTGTGATGCCCCCTAGTTTTCCTGTGCAGTACGGTAGTTGGCGTGGATCTCGGCATGTGTGTGCGCGCTCGGTCTGCCCGCTGTCGATGTGTGCGGTGGGCTGGTTTGAATCGGATTATGCTAATCGGCTGATTCTTCATCTTCAAATAGTACTACTGGGCCTGGGATGTGATCGACGAGTTCATCTACCAGTTCGAGTCCTTCTGCCGCTACCGTAACCGCGTCGCCCGTAGCGGCTCCAACGAGGAGGAGGCCCAGCTTCTGCGCGAGAACCCGAACACCTGGGGCTGCTACTCCGTGCTCAACGTCCTCTACTCTCTCATCCAACGATCGCAGATCAACGAGCAATTGGCTGCTATGAAGCGTGGTGAGGACCCGCTGGCTTACGCTGGAGAATATGGCTCGCGGCCCCTGTACAAGATGCTGGGATACTTCTCGATCATCGGTCTGCTGCGAGTTCACTGCTTGCTGGGAGACTTCAGCCTGGCTCTCAAGACCCTCGATGACATCGAGATGAACAAGAAGGCCATGTTCGCCCGTGTCATGGCTGCCCACTTCACCACCTACTACTACGTGGGATTCTCGTACATGATGATGCGTCGGTACGGCGACGCCATCCGCATGTTCAGCCACATCCTGGTCTACGTTTCCCGGACCAAGAACTTCCAGAAGGGTGGCAACAGCTACGATGCCATCGCCAAGAAGAACGACCAGATGTACGCCCTCATTGCCATCTGCGTTGCTCTCCACCCCACCCGTCTCGACGACACCATCCACTCCGCTCTGCGTGAGAAGTACGGCGAGCAGCTCATCCGTCTCCAGCACGGTGGCCCCGACGCCCTTCCTCTGTTCGAGGAGCTCTTCCGCTCCGCTTGCCCCAAGTTCATCAACCCCACTCCTCCCGACTTCGACAACCCGTCGGTCAACGTCGACCCCGTCGACCACCACACCGCCATCTTCATGGATGAGGTCAAGAACACTATCTTCAACCCCACGATCCGTTCGTACTTGAAGCTCTACACGACCATGGATCTGAAGAAGCTGGCCGGCTTCCTGGAGGTCGAGCCCGAGAAGCTTCGCTCTTGGCTGTTAGTCAACAAGCAGCGTAGCCGTCAGGTTCGCTGGGTCGAGGGTGGTCTCCTGGAGGGTGAGCCCGTGAGTGCCAACGACCTGGACTACGCGCTCGAGAACGACCTGATCCACGTTAGCGAGACCAAGGCCGGACGTCGCCTGGTTGACTGGTACCTGCGCAACCTCGCCCGTGTGTACTAAATCGATCCCCTCCCAATTACCCTTTCTTCTCGGAGATCGTGCGCGAGTGGCCCAAGAATGAGATACGCGTCATGTCTATAAACGGACCATTTTCGAAAGTAAGACTTCCCAAGCTGGGGAAGCCGTCGGACAGATCAGTCTGGTTTGTCCCACCATCTACTCAAAAGCTCGGGGAGACTTGGACGTTGCAAATTGGAGATCAATAGTGGGGAAGAGCCACAATCACCGGTGTCAAGAACAAAAAACAGAGAGTCATGGTGTTAGATCGCAAAATCTCTCTCCATCTCTCACCCTTTCTCCCACTTTCACAGCATCAAAATCATGAATTTCTTCTTGTTTTCTTCCTGTTTTAATCTTATCTATGGTTTTCATTGTCCATGTTTTCCCCTATTTCCTTTACCTTTTTCCTCTTTACTCTCAGGGCTGTGCGAGCCTGGACCTGCTCTGGTTTACAGGTCTGGGAGAGCATACAAAATTCGAATCGAATATCGAGGCTTGTTTGGGGCGTATTCAATGCTTGTGCTTGGTTTGTTTTACTGTTTCTGTTCCGGCATGTCCGATCGTTGCTCCATGTGAGCATGAGAGGATTTACCCAAAAAGAGGACAGGCGATACGGTAGAATTTGTTGTTTGCATGATGAAATAGATGATGACTTATTTATCATTTTAAATACACCGATGCCATTAGTCTGTACGCAGGCCGTAGGAAGTAGTCATAACATGAGAAGAGGGGGTATACACAGTAGGCATTATTCTATCTATACGCGAATGCAATCGATAAATATGGTACACGATAATCAAAAGAGGAATCAACAAGCATAAATGAATGAATGATCATATTCCTTCCATCTTCCGCGGGTTCGATCAATCACTAACATCAAAACTCGTCCCGCAACCACAGTTACTCGTCGCGCGGGGATTATCCACGATCTTGAACTGGCTACCGATCAACTCCATCGTGTAGTCGACCTTACTTCCGGACAGCAGCTCCAGGGAGGGCTCGTCCATGACGACCTTGGCGTCGCCGGGCCCTTGAGGGGATCCTTCCTCGGGCGTGTATTCGGCCTCGAAAACGGTGTCTTCCTCGGGGTCAATCTTCGAGGCCGCCTCAAGCGACATCATGTATTGGAAGCCATGGCAGCCGCCGCTCGTCACGGTGATTCGGAGATGGTGGTATGGGTTCTCTTCTTTGGTGGCAGATGGGGAGGAGGAGGGGTCGGTGATTTCACGGAGACGCTGTTGGGGGATATGATTAGCTGGCTATTTTTTAAACATGTGTGTATGCGTTGTAGCCAAAAGCATTCAGATAACCAAAAAGTAAAAACAAAAAAGAAGAAAAACATACAACAGCCGGGATTCGCTGGTGGTCACCCACCCAACTACTAACCGGCCGGCGTGTGGCTTAAGTACGGCTGAGCGGACGGGAAGCCCTGTTTTCCACACCCTGTGGTCGTATGTACTGATTCCTTTCAGATCGAGGCTCTTATCGCGGGCAACTTTTGCAGTTTCCCGACCATTCGGAGATGGTTGTCCGGAGTCCTCGCCACAGGGTACGTCAACAAATTGCTTCCCCGTCTAGCGCAGCGCATTACAGCCACCACAGTCATGTTTGCGCAGTATGTTTGAAGAGACCGAAAATGAACCCAATCAATGAACCTACCTCTGCAGCACGAGGCGCAATTTCCACCATCAATGTATTGCCATCTTCGCCGGTTCTCGGGTTGAGGGTCGGCTTGGTCGCGCGGTGGACGGTCGAGGCGGAGAAAGCGCGACTGTGACGGGGCGTACTGAAGAAAGGAGCAGAGTTCTGCGCGGAGACATTTCGAGAGATTCGAGTCTTCTGGGATCCGATCTGAGGGAAAAGTGGCCGGGGGGAGGCCGAGTCGCAAAAGCGTGCGGAGAACGTGCTCCAAGCCGGTCTGGACGGCGAGAGGGCAGAGATTACCGGGCGAGACGGTGTTCGCGTTGCCCCGCGGGCGGCGGATGATAATATCGGAAAAGACATGGTCGAGACTATGACAACTCCTTGGATTCAAGAATAGTTGTCTGAAGAAAAAGTCCCCGGAGCACCTCTGGACTTCCGGGCAATGAAGGAATTGATTATATATCAGGTTAGTCAGAGGGCTGCACATGACGTTATTGGTTGATGGGCCTCGGAAAGAGACGGCAGAATCAATGCCGATCATCGCGGGGGTTTTGTCTTTTCTCTTCTACACTCTCGTGCTTCTATCATCTGTCCTGCAGTTACTCCTCTACTTCTTGTCTTCCCTCCTTCAGGTCCAGCAGGATCACCGGCAGTCGCATTGGAAGTGTACAGACATGAGAGACAACAACTCAGACCGAGTGAACTCCACCAGTTCGAGTCTAGTGGCTACGCAGAAACGCCACTACCACGCCATAACCTTGTTTCCCATCTATATGAGGCACTGGGGAGTACTGGGGCATTTGAAGTAGTGAGCTGCTAGTCAGATAGAAAATTACTCAGAAGACAGGTTGTCTTTCCTGCATATGCATCTAGATATGACGTGCGGCAGCCGGGCAACCTACAGCGGATATTTATGCAGAACAACCCCGCCGTAGAACAAACCATGTCTTGTCCTTTTCTGCAGCGTAGTTACACTGGGGGGATTCCTTGATATTATACAATTACGGAAATTAAATCACCAAGTCCATCACAGATTTGTCCAACGGTTCCTTCCGCCAACAACCGCCTTCTCTCGCAGCAAACTAGAGTGCAATCTTGATAACTGAGTAACGTAGAAACTTCCGCCACTGCGGCTATCACATCCGGTCTTCATCCCGTCACCATCACACTCCCCTCCGTAAACATCTCGCGCTATACCTCCCGCGGTTACCAGGGTTCATAACACACTTGCACGTCTATCCCCCACAGATCAGACTCAGGATGAGTTTTCAGGTCCGAGACCTCAAAAACCGACCCCCACTTCCCTACAAGGACGATATCAGGGCTTTCACCAGGGAATATGCCGATTCTCTCGACGCCCGAGACCCGCTCCATCATTTCCGAAACGAGTTCATCATTCCTTCAAAAACAGACCTGAACAGAAAGACCCTGGCCGTTGACGAGCGTACGTTCATCTCAAACTCGTAAAGCCATGTACTGGTGTTATATGGTACCCCGCTAACCTTCACCACATACAGCCCTTGACGACGCTGCCGATTCCAGATGCATTTACCTGTGTGGAAATTCTCTTGGAGTGCAGCCTCGCAACACGCGCAAGTACATTGAGCATTATCTGCGAACCTGGGCCTTAAAAGGTGTCACCGGGCATTTTACACCGCATGATGACCAGCTCCTGCCTCCGTTTGTCGACGTCGACGATGCCGGCGCAAAGCTCATGGCTCCGGTCGTGGGGGCCCTTCAGAGCGAAGTGGCACTCATGGGTACCCTGACGGCTAACCTGCACCTTCTCATGGCAAGCTTCTACCAGCCGACCCGGGACCGATACAAGATCATTATCGAGGGCAAGGCTTTCCCGAGTGATCATGTAGGTTTCCCAAGTTCGACATATAACCGTTCAAGATAAATAAATGGGCTAATGTGTAGAGTACAGTATGCCGTTGAATCCCAAATCAAGCATCATAACTTGGACCCCAAGGATGCCTTGGTTCTCATCGAGCCCAAAGACATTGATCGGCCGATTCTGACGACGGAGCAAATACTCCAAGTGATTGATGAGAATGCCTCGAGTACTGCTGTCCTCCTTCTTTCAGCGGTTCAATTCTACACCGGCCAGTACTTCGATGTCGAGAAGATCACCGCGCATGCTCAGTCCAAGGGCATCGTTGTGGGCTGGGACTGCGCGCACGCAGCAGGCAATGTCGACTTGCGCTTGCACGACTGGAATGTAGACTTTGCGGCGTGGTGCAACTACAAATACCTCAACAGCGGACCCGGTGGCGTGGCGGGCATCTTTGTCCACGAAAGACATGGCCAAGTAGATATGGACCGCGCTGATGGGGACGGCGAACCATTTCGACCCCGATTGTCTGGCTGGTGGGGAGGAGACAAGAAGACTCGGTTTCTCATGAACAATAGTAAGAGACGCTTCCCCATTGCTTGAAGCCAACGAGTGTGAACCTAACCTAAGCAGACTTCTTGCCCCAGGAAGGCGCAGCAGGATATCAGGTATCCAATCCATCCGTGCTGGATATCAACGCAGTAGCTGCATCACTTGAGCTTTTCAACCGCACATCAATGGCCGAGATCCGCCAAAAATCCTTGGACCTCACGGGGTACCTAGAGCATCTGCTTCTGACCTACCCTCTTGATGCACCACCCGAGGAGAAGCCTTTCATTATCATCACTCCGTCGAACCCGGAAGAGCGTGGTGCGCAGCTTAGTCTGCGGCTGCAGCCCGGTCTTTTGGACTCCGTCCTGGAGGTCCTAGAAGAACATGCGGTCGTCATTGACGAGAGGAAACCGGATGTGATCAGGGTTGCGCCAGCACCTCTATATAACACTTATGTGGATGTGTGGCAGTTCTGCCAGGTCTTCTATGATGCCTGCCGGAAGACTGTGAATGCGCGGAAATAAGCCGCTTGGCATGCTTTGATGGGATTCTCTTTTCCCTAGGGGGTTCGAATGTAACGGTTGTCTAGATAAACGACGCTTTGACTGTATACATAACAATGCAAGAGCGACCATGAATATATAAATGAAATAGACGCAGCAATGAGTGCGATATCACGATGAAGCTGATCAGATATGAACTTTCGTATCATAAATTCCCGTGAATGTAGAAGTACACACGCTCGTAAATCCAATGAACTACTTCCGAGAACCAACATAATTGCCCAACCGGCGTTCCATTCCATATACTTGTTTTCTTGTTGATATATTAACCGGTGTGTCTTGCTCCTTGCCTTTCATGTAACGTAACCCATCAACCTAGCGCAAAATACGCTCGCTCCACCGGTTGTCGTTCCGATTCCCATGCCAACCAATCCGACCTCGTAGTCCTGTCAAAACATCCATATTAGTGAACTGATCTACACCTGCAACGGCAATGCAATAGAAGATCCGGGAGTAAACATACGGTAGCAGTCCCATCGCATTAACCTTCCACACGCCGAGCGCCAGCAAAACCAACTGCATGAGCACATAAATCGCCTTCACCCCGAGCAACTTCCCCTTTGTGCCGTCCGTCTCAAACTTGGCAAAGACGCCGTTGGTGTTGATCAGGCCTTGGATGGGGCCCTTGAAGAGCATGAACACCATCATGATACTGAAGATCTGGAGGCTGTTGCCGGACATGTACATCATGATCGCGTTCATGGGGATCTGCTTGGAGGGCGCGAGAGCGATCTCCCAGGCCTTTTTCAGCTTGAGAGTATCGGTTTCGACGGGTTTAGATGCGGAGGAAGCGGATGTCGATTGTTGCTGCGATCGCTGGGAGGGGAGGGGAAGTTAGCGGGAGGCCATAGGAAATGAAACCGTCATGTGAATGTCGACGAGAATCAGCTAGTCACACGTACGTTCTTGCCTCCTTCCTTGCGACTAGAGAAGCCTGGAGGGTCGGGGATGCTGGATGCGGACTTGGGGGAACGTGGCTTGGGAGAATTCAGGTCCACGACCCATTGCGGTGGAGGAACGGGGGGCAAGGGTTGGGAGGCCATGATGGAGATGAAGTTGAAATCAGAGATAGGACCAAGCAGATGAGTCGTAGCGGAAAATAAGCTAGAGCGTGGGGGTGGGAAGGCGAGAGGACGAGGGAGGGAGAATGAATAATGACGATAGGGAATAATTTCTCCACAAGCGCGCGGAGGCGGCGGTAACCCCGATCCACTCCTGATTCTCACCCAAGACTTTCTCCTTTTTCGATTCTCGCCTCTCATTCGACTCAACGTCGTGCTTCGGCTCTGGAGATTAAGTCCGGCGTCTACACTTGAGTCCAGGTACGTCCGCCTGGTCCCTTACATTCCCCAATGGTCGCTAACAGCCCCGGCGGAACCAGGGCCTGCATGGAGCGTGCCAGCTAAGAGAATCGCTCCTTCGAAGCTCCTCGCCGCGACTCTGTTCTCATTCGTCCTTGCGCCACAGGTCCAGCTTGCATTGGGGAAGACATTAAAGAAATTAGACTCGGAGAAGAAACCAGCACCAAAGCCGATCCTTTGTCGTCCGTCGTCCGAGCACCACCACCACCACCCCCACCCACCATGAGTTCCAGCGGGGGAGATGCGAAGCTGTTCGCCAGGGTACGTTCTTGTCTTGTCCTTGTCTGGTCGCGCCGGTCTTATCAACCTTGGCTGGGTCCCTTTCCTTCCCCTCCTCTCGTCCCCCCCATCCTTCCCCTCATACCGATCGTCCCATTCTTGGTCATGGATCTAGTGCTTCCACCGAAAGGATCCCATACCTCTCTTCTCTCCTTGCGTCTTGTGATACCGTACTTCATTTTGTGTCTTTTGTCGTTCGCTTTCGTCTTCGATCATACCTAGTGTTTCCATCGAACTCTCCACATCCCTCCTACCTTTCATCCACAACCGCTCTTATTTCTCCATGTTCATCAGCATCGCCCCCTATGCGACTCATGGCTTACAATTCTCGCGATCTCGACAGGGCAAAGTCGCCGAGTTGCGACAGGAACTCAACAGCGGCGGTAAGAAGGACAAGAACTTCTCCGCCAAGAAGATCGCCCTGAAGAAAATCGTCGCGAACATGACCATGAGTAACAACGATATGGTCGGCCTATTTCCAGATGTGATCGGATGTATGAACTTACCGAGCTTGGAAATCAAGAAGATGTACGTCGCAGAAGAACCGCCGTCCGCTATATCCGCCATGAAGGAATGGTCGCTGATGTTATATTCTCGGAGGATGACAGGTGTTTCCTATTCTTGGTGAATTATTCAAGGATGAAACCGGAAATTGCACTGAAGGCGCTGCCCATTTTGGTCAATGTATGACAATCGGTTACACCTCTGTCATGTGAAACGGGCTAACGCGCAGGTCGAAATAGGACATGGAGGACTCGAACCCTCTGGTACGAGCTCTCGCGCTGCGGACCATCTCATACGTTCACGTCCGCGAGTATGTCGAGGCGACCATCCAGCCTGTCAAGCGGTTAATGGGAGATATGGATCCTTACGTTCGCAAAACCGCGGCATTTTGCGTCGCCAAGCTCTACGAACATGACAAGAAGATGATCGAGGCCTCCGATTTGATCGATCGGCTGAATCAGATGCTGAAGGATGAGAATCCGACGGTTGTTTCCAGCGTCCTTGCTTCCCTGGTGGATATCTGGGGCCGGAGTGAAACCATTTCTCTAACCATCGATTACACGAGTGCCTCGAAATTGGTGTCGATCTTACCGGATTGCTCTGAGTATGTTTACTCCCCCAACGCCCCTTTTTAATATCTTAGTCAGGCGTGCTAACTCTGCATAGATGGGGTCAGTCCTACATTCTCGAGGCTCTAATGTCATACGTTCCACAAGATTCGGCAGAGGCACTTTTGCTCGCAGAACGAATCGCTCCCCGTCTTTCTCACTCTAACTCCGCCGTCGTCCTCACCTCAGTCCGTGTCATCCTTTACCTTATGAACTACATCGCCGACGAAAGACACGTTACCTCGCTATCGAAAAAGCTGTCGCCCCCGCTCGTCACTCTCTTGTCGAAACCTCCGGAGGTCCAGTATCTGGCGCTCCGGAATGCCATCCTCATCCTTCAGAAGAGACCAGAGGTCCTACGGAACGATATTCGGGTGTTTTTCTGCAACTACAACGATCCTATTTACGTAAAGGTGACCAAGCTGGAACTTATATTCATGTTGACCACGAAGGAGAACATCTCCGTCGTTCTAGCAGAATTGCGAGAGTATGTAGAAATGCTGTCCTTTCCTCTTCCTCCTAAGCACTTCGATACTAAATGAGAAACTTCTAGATACGCCACCGAAATCGACGTGCATTTCGTGCGCAAGGCCGTCCGCGCCATCGGGAAACTCGCCATCAAGATCGAGTCCGCGGCGCGGCAATGCATCGACACTCTGCTTGACCTGGTCAACGCCAAAATCCCCTACATCGTGCAGGAAGCCACAGTGGTCATCCGCAACATCTTCCGCAAGTACCCCAACCAGTACGAGAGCATCATCGGCCAGGTGATCCAGAACATCGACGAGCTGGACGAGCCCGAGGCCAAGGCCGCCATCATCTGGATCATCGGACAGTACGCCGACCGCATCGAGAACTCGGACGGCCTGCTGCAGGACTACCTGGCCACCTTCCACGACGAGACCATCGAGGTGCAGCTGGCGCTGTTGACCGCCACGGTGAAGTTCTTCATCCAGCGCCCCACCAAGGGCCAGCAGCTCGTACCGCAGGTCCTGAAATGGTGCACCGAGGAGACCGATGACCCGGACCTCCGCGATCGCGGGTACATGTACTGGCGGCTGCTGTCCAGCGACCCGGCTACCGCGCGCCAGGTCGTCATGGGCCAGAAGCCGCCCATCAGCGCCGAAAGCGAGAAGCTCGACTCGCGCACCCTCGAGGAACTCTGCCTGAACGTCGGCACCCTCGCCACCGTCTACTTGAAGCCCGTGCAGCAGGTCTTCCGCTCCGCCCGCACCCGCCGCCTCCAGTACAGCCCCGCGCTGCAGAAGCCGCGCGAGGACAGCGGCGGCAGCACCGTCTTCCAGCTCCCGGCGCCGGCTCCGCCAGGAGGTGCCGGTGCTGGTGTCTCGGCTGCTCCTGCCGCTGCCTCCGGCACGCCGACGTCGCCGACCAACGGCTCCGACCTGGGCCCACCGGGCGACATGAACGCGGCGGTCAACGCAGCCGACAACTACTTCAACAACGTAGGCACACAGCAGATGGAGGCGCTGGATCTAGGCGGTCGAGGCGACGGTGGTGCTGGCGGCGGCGGCGCCTCGCAGATGCAGTACGTGGTGAATCAGAACCAGCAGTCAGTGTATCAACCTCAATTGGCCGGCGGAGCAGCTACGGGAGAGCTGTTGTTACTGTGATTTTAATGTGATTTAATTTCCCTGTTATTGTATAGACTTCCTTTCTCTTTTTTTTTGTCCAATTTCTCTCAGCTCTGCAGACGGAGGAGGGTCTTGTGTTTTTGGTTGATTCACTCGAGCGGTATTGACTCCCTTTCATCGCAGGAATTTGTGATACCTCATTTTTCTTATATCTTTGAGTCATTCTATCATTATGTGGTTTTTACTGTATTGTATTTAATGCACTACCATAGGTTTATGTTATGTAAGGCAATAGTAATAGAATGGTCATTACGGAGACGACGAGTATGTATCCTTGATGAGTAGATACAGCAAAACGCACATTTTCCATTCGATGCAGTGCAGTATGTGCCTAAGAAAGTGGATGTTGTCCTTTGAACGCTAAAGATTATGACGGAAAAATCAGGCAAAGAGGGAAACAAAACAGAAAGAAATAAAGGAGCAGATTCCCAGAACTGGGACAAAGATAGCTCAAAATGAGAAGGCTCAATCCTCATCCATCCGAGACAATCCAGCACGGTTGCGGCGAATCCGCTCATCTAGATTATCCTCCTGCAGTTGTCGATGCATCGAGGAGACGAAACGGCCGCGTTCCGATCGCTGCTTGTCATCTCGCTCCTGCTGCTTCTCCTCCTCGGCCGTGACGTCGGCAATGCGCTGGCGACGAATCTGTTCCATATCGCTCGCATTGCCCATCATCTCGGCGAGTTTCTTTTTGCGAATCTCTTCTTGCTCCACTGCGTCGGGTCCAGGCCTGGAATCTCGGTCTCGAGGGTGCGAGTCTCTGGGGCCACGATTGTTCCTGCCATTGTCACGATAAGGCCTGTTGTCCCTTCGGTCCTCCCCTCGGTAATCTCTGCGAGGTCGGGAGTCCCTTTCCTCTGCGTGGCGGCGATCTGGGTGACGGTAATCAGGTTGAGGTGAGGGAGATCGATCATGGAAGGAACCACGGCGCGGAGCACGGTCAGACTTCTCCTCGCGGTCTCTATGTCTGTCCGAGCGATGATCCCTCCTATCTCTGTCCTCCCTGCGGTCTCGATCATCACGGTCCCGGCGGTCCCGACCATCGCGCTCATCCCTGCGATCTCTATCACTCCTGCGATCATGGTCTCTGCGATCACGGTCATCGCGATCATCCCTGTGTCTCCGATGCGACCGCTCCGGAGATCTCGAGCGGTGTCGATGCGACCTATGACGATGACGCCGATGTGAGTCCTCCTCATCGCTATACCTTCTCCGCTTATGAGTGCGCTCCCGATCACCATCCCTATCCCTCACTCCACCGCCACGGGAAGCAGACCCCTCCGCAACCGCACCACCACCACCCCTCCTCGCCGACTCCTTCACCAAATTCTCATAAGCCGCCTGTTCCCTCTTCTTAATCTCCAACAACGGGTCCGCCATAACCTTCGACATCGTATCACGGGCATTCTGAACCGGCGGCGCAGCCGAGACCTGCCCGGAGCCCACCTCAGCACCCTTCTCCAACTTCTTGCTATCGTCATTCTTCAACAAGATCCCGTCGATCCGACGCTTGCCTAGCAGATACCCCTCCATCTCCTCAGAATAGTGACCCGTCGAGCTCGACGGCGCCTGGTACATCCAGTCGACGCGGTTCTGCTGGCGCGCCTTCCCCGAATCTTCCTGCAGACGCTGCAGTTCTTGGATTTGGCGCTCCTCATCTCGTTCGCGGCGTAGCTGGTCGATCCGTTTGCGCTCTTCTAAGGCGCTCTTCTCCTCTTTCCATACGCGCTCTTGGTTGCGCAGGAGCGAGGGGTGCCATGACCTATGGGTTGCGGGATGCGGGTTAGTATGTGAGATTTCAACGAAGAGGTGTCGAGTGAGGGACACGGGGGAGCTTACTTCTTCAAGTTGAGATCGCCACCCATCTTGACTTGGGTTTATTGCAGGCAAGCTGCGATCGGGAGAATGTGAGAATAGGAGAGTGGGTTGGGGAAGAACGAGAGGTAGACGTTGGTTGCACCTGCCCGATGGGTACAGTGAATAAGTCCCGAAATGGAAAGTGCCACCGGGCCGACGTTGTTGCCATATATATGCCTGAGGCACCAACCACCCAGCAAGTATATCTGCCGTCTACACTGCCATACGACTTGGAAGGACTTTCGTGGAAATATGATTCATTGTATATCTGAAGACCGCCAGGTAGGACAGAAATGGGAACGAGAGACAGTCACCGTTACAGGGAATAAACAGAACAAGTTAGAAAAAAAGGAGGCATCAGTAGATACATACAACGAGAAAAGTAATTATTTGAAAAACAGATAACAAAACACAGAGAAGACAAGGCGTGCACACGCAGCGAATCTCGTAAGCCCGATTGCAGATCATGTACCATGCGAAATTAAAATATACCAGAGTCAAATCATTTACTCATCTTCGGTTCAGCCGTCTGCGTTGTCATAAACATAGGATACCAGGACAATTGTCAAGGAAAAGAGAAGGGGGAGAGGAAGGAGGAGAGAGAGACAGAGGTGAGCGAAAATAAAAAGAAAATTATAGACCATAGTTGGTCCACAAAGGACTCTTCGTCAGCGGGTCAACCGCATCTGTGCAGGAAGACCGTCGCAAGCTCATTATGCATTAATGGTTTCGTCCTTAACTTTCCCAACCAACCCAGCTGCGAGGCATTACTCGCCAAACCTTACATTCACCGCTGCGAAGGTCATTGAGTTTGAAGCTCTCCATTTTAACCTTCTTGCTTTCTCTGCCCTGCTCCCACGCTCGGATCTTCTTCTTGGTTCCGTCCCAGTCGACAACAACGCCGACATGGTCCGGCTTGCCTACCTCAGAGCTGTACTTCTGGTGCATCGTACCACGGTGGCCCTGGAAGCGTGCATTACGGAAGCTGACAATATCACCCGCTCGGATTTCATCATTTTGCTGCACCGAGGCATTCGCCAGATTCGAATAGACCAAAGCACCGTAAGCTCGGGTTCCAACAGGGCGCAAAGCGTCCTTGATAGGGTTAAGCAAATGCTGGACCAGACCGAATGGGGTGCCGTCCGCAACCGTGGTGTTTTGAATCCCGTTGATGGCGTTGAAAATGCGAGTTCCAATCTGAACATGAGCATTTTCCAGTTGATCTTGACGGGGCTGAAGGGGAGGACCTTCATGACGTTGTTCCAAGGACGCATCGCTGGGGTTGCGAGCATCGTAGGTCACTGTGATCACGGTCTGTGAGTAATCCAAGAACAAGACATAGACATCTTTCGTGATTGTGGCTTTGCCTCCCCGCTTCGAAGAGGTTGACTCTTCAACCTCGAAGAAAAGGTCCTTGCGATTTTGCAGAGCGGGTGGAGGCGTCGATGGTTGGCTCCACCACAGCGTGCCTTCAGCCAGATCAACATCCATGGCAATGAAACCCTGGTCTATAGAAGGACGGGCAACATCCATAGATCTCCGGAGAGGAAGCGCTCCCCTAGGGATATCCAAGGACGCACGGTTGCTTCGTGGGGTAGGTGGTTGGGCAGGAGGGAAGAAACTGGAAGGCGGGGGCGCCATAGAAGTACGTTTCTCAGTCGGTGCAGCAGGCGGCGGCACTTCCGGAGGAGCATGAACAGGAGACGCATCGTACAATTCATCCGAATCATCTGCGACTTGCTCCGGTTGAATGCTAGGTGGAACTTCTGGTCGGCCCATGGGTACAGGAGGGGCCCTTGGAGGTGGCAGCAGTCCAGATTGGGGAGCGATATAGCGATAAGGATCATATTCATCATCGTCCCCGTTGAATGAGTCCATATGAGGCGGGGGAGGTGGAGGGCCTCTGGGTGATTCTAGCGAGGCTCTACCGGCACTACCGGCACTCTTGGGTGGCTGAACAGGCGGCGGCGGCGGGACTGCACGAGGGGCGGACGGAGGAGGCGGTGGTGGGAGACGAGTTTCCTGAGGGCTCCGGGGAGATTGCAGGGGGTGATCGTCAGTTATAGTGCCTTCGTCGACGCTCGAATCACGCCCATGGGCTTTCAGCGCATCCTTGAATTTTGCACCAGATGCAATATCCGTGTCATAATCCCCATCATATTCCGTCACTTCGCCCTCGGCGTCATCTCCTGCTTGGCGGGGCTGCGAAAGAGTACTGATGTGGCTATCTGCGGTTGATCGACGTCGGATATCGCCTGGAAGTGGCGGAGGAGCAGGTCTGTTCTGCGGCGACATGGGCGGACTTGTTGGCACTGGCGGAGGCGGGGGACGGCTAAGCCTCTTATCCGCAGGGAGGGTGGGAGATCTTGGAGACGACACCTCGTATGTCGATGGGCGGCGGGAATCGATATGATCAGGAATTGGGGGTGCCGACACAGGCGGAGGCACAAACTGGTCTGACGCCACTGCGTTCAAGGACAAGTTCTGTGCATGGACAGAAAGCTCATCGTCTGAGTCCTCGCCAGGATCAGCAGATGTGGTGCTCTTAGCAGGGTGAGGAACGGGGCGGGCTATAACCAAGGGATCAGCTAAACTGGCACGGGGCATGGGAGTCGACCGCTAACTCACCACCGGGCACAGGCGGAGGGGATGCAGGTGCATCCTGAGGGATAGGAGGCGGCGGGACAGGTCGTGTTTCCATCGGAGGAAGGGGAGGTACTGGGCGTTCTGGATATGATGATACATCGTTAGCTTCAAGGTTGCAGGGTTTCACATAATCTAAAATAAACAGGCAACCCATACCTTGAGCGGGTCTGTCAGACGAGGTGCGTCGGGGAGATGCTTCCGGAACAACTTCTTCAACGTCAGGCACCTCATGTGCCGGATGCTGCTCGGTCAGAGGAGTAGCTGGAGCGTCTTCGTCCTTCTGGACAGATGGGGCGGCTGCCGGTTTGCCCATCCCTGGCAGAGCCATAATAGGGACCGGTGGTGCTGCAGATGGGCTGGTAATTTCAGGTTCCTCGGTCCTCCTTTCGGGTTCCACTGGCGGTTTTGGTTTACGAGCTGCGCCAGGGGCAGGCATACCACCCGGAGGGCCAAAGAAGCCCATCATCCCCATTCCACCGCTCATTTTTGCCATGCGCTCGCGGAGCTCCATCTTGCGCTTCACCTCCGGGTCCATTTCCTCCTCTTCTTCCTCGTCTTCATCCGACTGCTGCTGTTGTGGTTGCTCCTCCTCCTGCTGGTGTTTGACAGGTTCCGGCGCCTTTGTCTCGCTAGAAGACTGGGCGACACGCTGGGTTTCACCGCGCGCACGATCATCGTAATCCTCCTTACTCGTAGATGTTTCCTCTGCATCCTCAATATCAGCAGCCGCAGAGTCGTCAGCATCGTTGGTATCGCTTGCCAGTTCCGGTACCGGGGTAGGAGGACTTGTTGGCTGCGGCACAGGGAGCGCACCGGGTTTCACAGTTTCGACGCTGTGATCCCGGACGGCCTCGGGAGGCGCTACCCTTTCGGTGCCGAGGTCCTCAGCAGGCACAGTTTCTTCTTGGGACTCTGTGCGGGTCTGCGGCGGAGGGCGCTTGGGTTTTTCCTTCTTCTGAGCCGCATCGGCATGACGAGCAGCCTGCTCCATTTGCTGCTTTTGCAAGAGGGCAATTCGTTCCTTCAAGCTTGTTGGTTTGGGCTGGTCCTCTGCGCCTTCTTCGGTAGTCTCGGCGGGCGCAGGTCGGCTTTCAGACACGGGGGGCTCCCGTACCACAGGCTCCTGGATATCGGGATCCTCTTCCCTCCGGTAAATCTTTTGGGGAGCTTCTTTGGGCGGGGGAACGTAAGCATTCTTGCTGGGCGGCGGAGCAACGAATGGTTTCTTAATGAACGAAGTCGAACTGTGGGAGCTCCATCCTCCAGGCTTGACTGGCGCGATTGGCGGAGCCGCGGGCTTGTTGAATGCGGCAATGCGATCCCTGAAAGACGAGCCGGTCGGCTTCTCTGGAGGTGGGGGTTTGGTTGATGTCTTCGGAGCGGGCGGCTCGCTAGCTTCAGTGACAGGCGGTTGCGGAGGCGGCTGCGGAACCGCAGCTTGCACCGGACGAGGTGGAGATGGAACTTCACTGGCCGGGGTTTCCACGCGAGCAGGCGGCGACCGCGGCGGTTCAGGTGCATATACCGACGCGGCCGGAGGAGCAGGCTCTGTCTCGGGCTCCGAGAAATATTGAGGTTCGGGGGCAGGGGGCTCGACAGCGACAGGTTGCGGTACCGGCTCAGGCCCAGGCTCAGGCTGAGCCTTGGGCTCGGGCGGAGGAGCAGGAGCAGGAGCGGGAGCAGGTTCAGGTTCCTTCTTGGGCCTGCTCGGACGTGTAGGTCGCGGAGGAGCCGGGGGTTCATATTTCTCTACGAAATTCTTGGGGAAGATGCCTTCCGCCTTTGACCCCGAGCCGTCCGTATATTCACCATAGTACCAATCGGCATCCTCTTCTTCGGTGACCGTAATAACCTGGCCGATTGCGAAATTTAGGTCGTCATCGTGGTTCGACGAGTACTCGAAGACCGCTCTGACCGTGAACGGCGGGCTGGACATCTGGCAAGCCGGGCCCTGTCACGAACGTGGGATTGTAAGACAGCGACCGAGGGCGGGGACCGACGGGAGGGGGGGGGGTTGCAATCAATTAATCCAGAATGTAGCAGTTGCACGCAGGGAAGCACCAAATAACGTGGGTTCCGACGGACAGAATCATGCGCGAAAGGTGGCTTTCGGAGAAAGTGTGGGTTTGGAAGAGGGACGCTAGACACTAGGAATCAACAGTCGGAAGTGGAATATGTCAGCCTGGTGGTCGGGTTGGGTACGTCAGAGGGTGAGTGCGCTGCATGAGAGGAAGGGACTGCAAGCTTCCCCCTCGTGGAGACTCCAACAGCAAAGGACAGTTCGTGGCACTTACCAAATTCAGGCGCAGCAATGATAGAAAAGAGCAGTTGCGGAAAAATACGACGGATGCCAAGGATGACAGAAGAGAGAGAGAGAGAGAAGGAAGGGAAGGGGGGAAGAAGAAAGGGTGTACGGAACTGTCGTGAGGTCGTCACCTTCTGGCGGGACAACCTGCTCCACCACGGGGGCGATCGGCGGCTAATAATATTGAACAGGAAGCGCAATTAAAGTCCTCTCGGTGGCGGTACAGAGACTACCGTACACTAAAATACGTACTGAGTTGGTGTACGAAGCAATCGAGAGGTCTCATATCATATCACCATAGCTATTATTATCTACCAGCTGGCGTCATTGTCCCCGGCCGTACCTTTTCTATAGCTAAACTACATCTCCCTGGATTTAATCCGGGGGTTCCAGTCTCTTGGCCGACCCGGAAAAAAAAGAGAAACTTGTCCGACCCAATCTTCCTCAAAGATCGTCATCTTTCATTATATCATCGCCTCAGTCCGACACCACCATTTTTTCATCCTATTCTATCTCATCGACTTTCTATCCCTTCCTATCCCTTCCTAATCTCTTTGATCATGTCCTCCGACCAGTCGATACTCAAAACGTCTCTTCCTTCCGCTCATCGTGCCGCCGCCCCCAAGGCACCGCCAGCCCAATCCACCACTCGCCGTGCGCCATCAAAACCCAAAGCGTCGCACCAAACGAAAGCCCAGTCGCAAAGTAAACCAGGCACCGATCCTCGTCATTTAGCCATCGCCCTGCAGCATGCACACCGGATTCAAGCGCAGAAAGACACGGAAGCCCTCATCCTCGATCGCATTCTCGAACTAGCCACATTTCCCCCGTCGCCATCCGCGGACCCTGCGTCGCCGTTGGCCGAATATGTCCAGACCTTCAAGTCCGCTCTCGTTCCTTTCCAACCGGCCGACTATGATAATTTGATTCTGGAGCGTAACATCGAGGGTCTTTGTGGCTATGCACTGTGTCCTCGCGAACACCGAAAGGACGACTTAAAAGGGACGTTTCGCGTCAAGTGGGGAGCCAAAGGCAGCGGACCGGGCGGGCATGGACGAGATATGAACATCGTTCCGCGGGAAAAGGTGGAAATGTGGTGTTCAGACGAGTGTGCCGAGAGGGCCATGTATCTACGGGTCCAGCTGGCCGAGGACCCGGTTTGGGAGAGAAGAGCGGATGATACTCGTGGCAAGAATTTCGTTCTGCTGGAGGAAGGAAGAGCGGCACAGCGGGGCAAAGGAAAAGCGAAAGCTACCGTCAACGAGGTCGCTGGTCAGCTGGATAATCTCCACATGGACACAGAGCAAAGTGGAAATGATGTGGCTGAAGACATTGCACGGCTCTCCGTTCGCGACGACTCCCGGTCTCGCGAGCTCGCTATGGAACGTGGTGACTCGGCCTTGTTATCTCAGGCGGGTCGGGTTGAGGTTCAGATCCTAGAAAAGGAAACAGGCTCCCATGGGAATGTCACGGCTCCAGAAATGCGCCCTGGGGATGATAAGGGAGGTTCTATCGAAGGGTATATGCCCAAAGATCATTGAGTTGCGCCGAGACAACTTTTGCGACTCCTCCCCTCTCTCCAAAAAAAAAAAAAAAGGCGAGTAGCCACAGGTGTTAGAATGTTTGTTCCTATTTGAGGCGTTGGCAAAATGATTGATACCCAGTTTCTGCAGCATATAGATTGATACTTTACAAAAATAATGACGACTCTGGAGGTAGGATGCCTCAGATTGAGATCCTAATATTGCGTTCAAGCAGATTCTTTGCATTGTACGGAGAATGGGGATTATTGAAAGCGACCCATAGACTCTGTGGAGAGGAGCTACTATTTATTGTAAATCCATCGCTTCAATTTCAATCTACACAAAGAATATCAGGTGATGTGCATCATATCACAGGATAGAGAAAGACAGCGAACAAGGAATAGCTTTACATTTATCCAAAAATCTAATCATACAACCAGTTGAACCCTGCTCGAAAACAATGCAATCAACATCAAGAAAGGGAAATAAACATCCGGAAATCACGCAATTTCCATTAAGAGCTGAGCGTTTTCATGAGGTTTCTCGCAATGTCTTCGGTGGATCCCGAGGTTGACTCCCGTGGCCGAGCGGTCCTGGGACGGTTTTTATCCAACCTGGGGACGAAACGCTGGTAGCCACGGGCAACGTCGGAAATAGCGCCGGGCTTCTTGTAGTCCTCAATGCGGTAGGGAGCCTTAGCAGTAGCACTGGCACGGTAAGATGCCAACCCAATTCTGCCATCGGAGTCAACCGAGGCTCGGATGGGAGTGACCCAGTACTTAGCACCCCCAGGGATAGTAGAGTCGTAGAACGACAGGCCTGGAGGCGATCCCTGTTCCATGAAGGTCATGGCGTTCAAGTCCTCCACAGCGATACCACCGACACCAGCAATGGCCTTGGCAGTCTTGTTCTTGAACTTGCCCTTCGGTCGCAGGATACGGGCTTCGACCGGGCGCTGGAAGGCCTGGGCACCGTACGAAGGGTGGTTGTAAACCAGAGCATGCGAACGCGAGTATGACAAACCGGCGGAGGGGTGTGTCTTCGGAGGACCCGACACAGCGTATTCGCCCGACGATAGTTTGGTGCCGGGGGATTGGTAATATCGGTGGCCAATTCGGTCGCTCGGCACGGCGGGGGGAGAGGGGAGGTCCAGAAGCTCAAAAACGACAGGTCCGAGGGCGAATGGGTCTCCTCGCAGAGACTTCAGGTACGCTTGGAACTCTTCCTCGCTAACTTGGACCGGTGCGAGCTTCTCGAGATCCTCCCCGTTGTCCTGAGCCTGCTTCCTTCGCTCGGCAGTTCGCTTCTCGATGAATCTCTCGCGCAACTTTTGTAGAAGCTCCGACCGGTTGCCGCGGACTTTCTTCAGATAGGCATCGAATTGCGCTTTCGTCTGACCTGCAAGCCAAGGCCCAGAGTGTCTAAATTGTTTGGCCCCGGGCTCGTCGAGGTTCTTGCTGGTGTTTGTGTTATCGACTTGAGTTTCAAAGGGACTCTGGTGCCGGGGCACGATGCTGGTAGCGTAGTTGACCTTGGAAGGCAGCGAAATAGGCATATGAAGTTCCTGGAACTTCTCCAGAGTCACGGTGTGATCCGCGGCGGATTCGAAGTCGGTAACATGTTCGAATGTGTCGAGTTCGTTAACTCGGACCACCGGCCGAGAGGATTTCTGCGAGGTCGACTTCTGAGGAAGTGGTCGCTTCAAACCCCAATCTCCTCTTGCCAGCGACGAGGCCGGAGTGACAATGGACGCTCGGAGAGGATAAGGCAGGGTCGCCGTGTCGGAATCACGGTTGACCTTCGTGGTTGGGTTTTCTTGAGGCGGCGTCAAGGCTTGCGGAAGTGCAAAAAGGCGAGACTTCCGCAGCAAATTTGCTGTAGGCGATATCCTGGTGGTGGCCATGGCGACTCGATTGGCAATTGCAGCGTCGGGAATCTGAGTTCTTCCTCCGGAGCACGCTGGAAAAAAGTTGGAAGACATCGGACTAACTAGGTAAGTGCTTGCCAAGACTTCTTGGTACGGGGGACTACAACCACCTTACGCGAAGCTCTCGTACTTGACGGTGTCTACTTGGTCTTCTTGCTTCTGTTTCTCTTTTCTGTTTGAGGGTTTTTCTCACAAGATGTCTTTCACCGATCTCATGTTCATTTGCATATACATTCATTCATATTTATCGTCAATTTTGTATACTGACTACCTATCGATTTCAATTCCCTAAGCACCCACCGCCAGAAGTGAGTCCACAGTCTCCCCGACAGACTGCTTCAACGACCGGTACTTAATTCCCAGGACCTCGATGGATTTCGTGTTGTCATAGCCATAGATATTCGCCGGCGTGTCGTCGGCTGAATCCTTTGGCGGGAGCTTATCATCCAATTCGGGGTGTGATTCTCGGATGATATCCACAATCTGCTTGTTGGAATACAAGCCAGCAGTCAGGAAGAATCGCTGGCCTCCTGCTTCCGGAACCTCAATGGCTCTCACATGAGCCAATGCAACGTCGTGGACATCCACCCAGAGGAATGTGCCTGTTGGGGGTAGTTTGTCCTTGTCGTTCCCCCGAATCAGGTTGCTTATCCGCGAGTTCGAGGTGTTGATGCCGTCCAAAGAGTTCAGGTAATGGACAACAGGTCCTAGTACTAAAGGTGGGTTGATCGTTGCAATATCAAAATTCGGCTTCTCGTTCTCGACAAAGTTCCAGGCTGCCTTTTCAGCAAAGGTCTTTCAAAATGTATTAGCATTGGCTGATACGGCGCTGTGAACTGGCTATCTTACCTTGCTGGCTCGGTATGTTTGCGCAGGGTCCAGAGCCTCTTCCCAGGTCACCGGGTTCCACACCTTCTCACTGTACACCTTCGCGTGGTTCTTGACGTTGGTGATAGCTGCGAAGGAAGATGTGATGACGACTCTTTTCACTGTGGGCGCGTAGGCCTTAACAGCCTTCAAAATACCCGTGGTGCCCTTAATAGCGGGGTCTAGGAAGTCTTTCACGGGATCCTGGACGTTGTAGTGGAAGGGCGATGCAGTATGGAGGACATAGTCAAAGGGAGGGTTTGATTTTACGGCCTGGGGAAAGTAAGACGTTAGTATTGTCGATCCTAGAGCAGTGCCAATGCGTCTCCTACTTACTTCGTCGAATGCTCCATCTGCCGCAACATCTTTGACGATTACATAGGACAGATTTTCCTTGGAAACCCCGGGGTGTGCTTCGAGGATCTTCTGGCCCTTTTCATCCGATCTCACAGTTACCACGGTGTCGAAGCTATTGTAAAGACTAGATTAGCACTCCAGAGACGAAATGGTGTTTATGGTCAAACGAACTCACCCCCTCTGCAGCAGGTAATCGACAATGTGAGCAGCGATAAAGCCGCTACCTCCTATAGACAATTGTTAGGACTATTTGAATCTAATTGGTTAATGGCTTTCTACCTACCGGTAAGAAGAACTTTGACCATATTTGCTAGGAGCGATCAATTTGCGAAAATAGTGTTTATCCCGGTACAGGGTCTCAGTCAATTGGACGTTAAGATGATCGTGAACCTCGAGCGACATGGCAAACAACCTTCTTATAGCTCTTCCAGCAAGCATCTATACCCCTCCTTACGACCCCACCATGGTCCACCATCACAGTTATCATTCGGATGTGATAGGATATTACCGACATGATTACAAATTGGCAATATTTGCATCAATTGATGACGGAATTACATGGTGGAATTAGGACTTAGCCGGGCACCCGGGGGGAGGATTGCCTTCGAGCCAACCAGGGATGCGTTAGCGGACATTGGGAAGGGCCATATCCCCGAAACCCGCAGAGGCCTAGTGGGGATTGATTGTCTATGGTCCAGGGCCCATGCTCATGACGGCGTGGCATTTACCTGCTTTAAATAGGGTGAAAGCTCTTGGATTGCAGGTAATATACGAATAGAGAAAACTGGAGATCCCGAGTAACTGCACAGTACTGACTAGAAGACTTGTTGATGACCATTAGTTTTGTAGCTCCTTGTTGCCGTACCAATTATATATAGCATGATTTCAACACGCCTATCCCGGAAATTCGTCTGAAAGCTTGAAAATGTATTTCATTGACAGAAAAGAGTAGTGTTGGACCATCAGATGTATAGCGGGCAGAATTAACCCCCAAACAGCAAACAGGGGCCATGTTGCCGGAGTGAAATCTATGGAGGCCTCAGGAAGCAAGGCGGAGAAGCACCGGTGCCCCAGGCCGCGAACCGACCTGGCCCGTGCACGATCCCGTCAGGCCTTCGACTTGCACAGCCGTTTCCCGCATCCACCATCCTCGCCTGCTCATCAACTGCTCTCTTCTCTTTCTTATGCTCATTTCGTGTCGACGTACATGCCCTAGAGGCTGACTTCAAATGTCCACCCTGGGGTGTGCTACGCAAAAATGGCGCAACCAGGTCCTTTCACGGACGTCACTCAGCGACTCTTCATCGAGTTGAAGTCCAAGAACGAGGAGACGCGAGCACGAGCTGCTTATGAGCTCTACGACAACGTCCTCGCCATCTCACGAGGTAGCCCCCCAGACCCTGACCGCTTCCTCGTATTGGTGCTTACTCTGCCGTTCGTATAGATTGGGCCCCGGAGAAGTTCCTCGAATTTTATAATGCCGTCAGTCAACGGATCGCACAGCTCGTTGTAACGGGCAGTGACGCAAACGAACGTATCGGTGGCTTGCTGGCTCTGAACCGCCTGATAGATTTCGACGGGGTCGATGCGGCACAGAAGACGACTCGGTTTGCTAGTTACCTGCGCAGCGCTCTTCGCAGCAATGATAATGCAGTGCTGGTATATGCAGCTAAGGCGCTGGGCCGTCTGGCTAAGCCGGGCGGAGCTCTCACCGCGGAGCTGGTCGAAAGTGAAATACAATCCGCCCTCGAGGGCCTCCAATCTGAAAGACAGGAAAGCAGACGCTTCGCCGCGGTACTCGTCATTCGCGAACTTGCTAAAGGATCTCCAACGCTTCTCTATGGATTTGTCCCCCAAATTTTTGAACTCATCTGGGTTGCCCTCAGGGATCCCAAGGTGTCCATCCGAGAGACTGCCGCTCAGGCAGTCAGTGAATGCTTTGAGATAATCGCTGCCAGGGACATGCAAGTGCGGCAACTATGGTTTGCAAGAATATACGAGGAGGCGCTTCTGGGCCTGAAATCCAATAACGTGGACTGGATACACGGATCACTTCTCGTTCTCAAGGAGCTTCTTCTTAAGGGCGCTATGTTCATGAATGAGCACTATAGGAACGCCTGTGAGATTGTTCTCCGTCTGAAAGACCACCGGGACTCGAAGATTCGCACGCAGGTTGTCCTGACGATCCCGATTCTCGCCTCCTACGCCCCTGTTGACTTTACCGAAACCTACCTCCACCGATTCATGATCTACCTACAAGCACAGCTCAAGCGAGAGAAGGAGAGAGATTCAGCTTTTATAGCGATTGGAAAGATTGCCAATGCCGTAGGAGGTGCCATCGCGCAATATCTCGACGGAATCATCGTTTACATACGGGAGGGACTCGCCCTGAAAGCGTGAGCCGCCTCCACTCAAACCCTATCATGTCGATACCGCCTCAACTAACATTCTCTAAAGGCGTAATCGAGCTGCTGTCAAGGAAGCTCCGATGTTCGAGTGTATCAGCATGTTGTCACTGGCCGTGGGACAAGCGCTCAACAAGTACATGGAGACGTTACTTGATCCCATTTTTGCCTGCGGACTGAGCGAATCTCTAACACAGGCACTTGTTGACATGGCACACTACATCCCACCTATAAAACCCACGATACAGGAGAAACTCTTGGATATGTTGAGTTTGATTCTATATGGGGCCCCGTTCCGGCCTCTGGGATGTCCGGAGACCAGGCTGCCTCCAATGCCGTCCTTTGCAAAGGACTTTGCTCCTCAGGAGCTGCATACTGATGCGGAAATTGCTTTAGCACTTCATACTCTGGGTAGCTTCGACTTCTCTGGACACATTCTGAATGAGTTCGTTCGCGATGTCGCGATCAACTATGTCGAGAACGACAACCCTGAAATTCGGAAAGCCTCGGCACTTACATGTTGTCAACTCTTTGTTCACGACCCGATTATCAACCAAACGAGTAGCCATTCGATACAAGTCGTTAGTGAGGTCATCGATAAACTGCTGACTGTGGGCGTTGGTGACCCTGACCCCGAAATCCGGCGTACGGTGCTGTGGTCTTTGGATCGCAAATTCGACCGTCATCTCGCGAGGCCAGAAAATATTCGCTGTTTGTTTTTGGCTGTGAACGATGAAGTCTTCTCCGTCAGAGAAGCCGCAATTTGCATTATTGGTCGCCTCTCTAGTGTCAACCCGGCATACGTTTTCCCCCCGTTACGAAAACTTCTCGTCAACCTCCTGACTGGCTTGGGATTCGCAAGCACAGCTCGGCAGAAGGAAGAAAGCGCTCAGCTCATCAGTTTGTTTGTTTCAAATGCGACGAAACTCATTCGATCCTACGTCGATCCGATGGTGACGACGTTGCTTCCAAAGGCAACTGATGCCAATCCTGGAGTTGCCTCAACTACACTAAAAGCCGTCGGAGAACTTGCAAATGTGGGCGGCAACGAAATGAGAGTCTATCTACCCCAACTCATGCCAATTATCCTGGATTCCTTACAAGACCTCTCTTCGCACGCCAAACGTGAGGCTGCTTTGCGGACACTAGGCCAATTGGCTAGCAACTCGGGATACGTCATTGACCCGTACCTTGAATATCCTCATCTTCTCGCGGTGCTTATCAATATCATCAAGACGGAGCAGACGGGTTCCCTACGCAAAGAAACCATTAAATTACTAGGTATTGTTGGTGCGTTGGATCCGTACAAATACCAGCAGATAAGCGAGAGTGCACCCGACGTTCACCACATCAATGAGGTCCAAACAGTTTCGGATGTTGCTCTGATCATGCAGGGCCTTACGCCTTCCAATGAGGAATATTACCCAACTGTCGTCATTAACACCCTGATGCAAAGTATCTTGCGCGAGAACTCTCTTGCCCAATATCATTCGGCAGTCATCGACGCAATAGTTACGATATTCAAAACGTTGGGACTGAAATGCGTGCCATTCCTTGGACAAATCATTCCCGGGTTTATATCGGTCATCAGAGGGTCGCCCCCTAGCCGCCTTGAATCGTACTTCAATCAAATGGCAATTCTGGTTAATATCGTGAGGCAGCATATTCGAGCCTTTTTGCCCGAGATCATTGAAGTCATTCGTGATTTTTGGGATTCATCATACCAAGTCCAGGCCACCATCCTGTCACTCGTGGAAGCCATCGCCAAGTCTTTGGAAGGTGAATTCAAGAAGTATCTTGCGGGTCTCATTCCCCCGATGCTAGACACGCTTGATAACGACAGCACTCCTCGCCGACAACCTTCGGAGAGGATTCTCCATACGTTTATGATATTTGGCACCAGTGGGGAGGAATACATGCATTTGATAGTTCCTTCGATTGTACAGCTCTTTGACAGGACTCAAAACCCTCAGAGTATTCGAAAATCAGCCATCGAAAGTCTCACCAAACTCTCAAGACAGGTCAATGTTTCTGACTTCGCATCTCTAATGGTCCACTCCCTGTCCCGAGTTGTTGCAGGCAATGACCGCATTCTACGACAGGCCGCCATGGATTGCATCTGTGCCCTCATTTTCCAATTGGGCCAAGATTTCAGCCACTACATCAACCTCTTGAACAAAGTTCTGAAGCAGAATCAAATCACCCATGTCAACTACCAAATTCTGGTGACGAAGTTGCAAAAGGGAGACCCGCTCCCGCAAGATCTCAACCCCGATGAAAACTATGCAGCTCTGGCAGATGATACGAATTACGCAGAGATCGGCCAGAAAAAAATGGTCGTCAACCAACAGCATTTGAAGAATGCATGGGACGCCTCCCAAAAGTCGACGCGTGAGGATTGGCAGGAATGGATACGTCGTTTTAGTGTGGAGTTGCTGAAGGAGTCGCCTTCTCCGGCGCTACGTGCCTGTGCAAGTTTGGCAGGCATCTATCAACCTCTTGCACGAGATCTCTTCAATGCTGCCTTTGTGTCCTGCTGGACGGAGCTGTATGATCAGTATCAGGAGGAGCTTGTTCGTTCCATCGAAAAAGCCCTCACTTCGCCTAATATACCCCCAGAGATCCTGCAGGTTCTTCTAAATCTTGCAGAATTCATGGAGCATGATGACAAGGCTCTTCCCATTGACATTCGTACACTTGGTAAATACGCTGCGAAGTGTCATGCGTTTGCCAAGGCTCTTCATTATAAGGAGCTTGAGTTTGAGCAGGATCAAAACTCGGGAGCAGTGGAGGCTTTGATTACCATCAATAACCAGCTCCAACAATCCGACGCCGCCATCGGTATCCTTCGAAAGGCGCAGGCTTATCGGGATGTGGAGCTGAAAGAGACTTGGTTCGAAAAGCTTCAGCGCTGGGAGGAAGCTCTTGCTGCGTACAAACGACGCGAGAAGATTGACCCTGACTCCTTTGGAGTCACCATGGGTAAAATGCGATGTCTACACGCACTGGGCGAGTGGAAGGTTCTGTCAGATCTTGCCCAAGAAAAATGGAACCAAGCGTCACTGGAACACCGGAGAGCAATTGCTCCTCTAGCAGCAGCAGCGGCCTGGGGAAGGGGCCAGTGGGAGCTTATGGATTCTTATCTTGGGGTCATGAAGGAGCAGTCGCCGGATCGATCATTCTTCGGGGCTATTCTCTCGATTCACCGAAATCAGTTTGACGAGGCAACGATGTACATTGAGAAAGCGCGAAATGGCCTCGACACTGAGTTGTCCGCCCTTCTTGGAGAATCATACAACCGTGCGTACAACGTTGTTGTTCGTGTCCAAATGCTTGCGGAACTCGAGGAAATCATTACATACAAACAGAATGTTGGTGATCCCGAAAAACAAATTTCCATGCGCCAGACGTGGAACAAGCGGTTGCTCGGCTGTCAGCAAAATGTCGAGGTTTGGCAACGTATGCTCAAGGTCAGAGCTCTCGTCACCTCTCCTCGGGAAAACCTCGACATGTGGGTCAAATTTGCCAACCTTTGCCGCAAGTCAAACCGGATGGGTCTAGCAGAGCGATCGCTCGCGTCCTTGGAGACTGTCGTCTCTGACAGCAGCGGCACACGAGCTGTGATTCCTTCAGAGGTAACCTATGCTCGATTGAAGTTTAGCTGGGCTACTGGACGACAGCGTGAGGCTCTCCAGATGCTGAAAGAATTCACATCAGAACTTACTGAAGACTTTACGCGCTTTAACACACTCATGATCTCTCAAGCCGAGCACAACGGAATGAACGGCGTGGGCGTTAATGGTATTACTGATGCAAATCACACCGATATCATGGGTCTGCGTGACCGTATCCAGGACGTGGCGAAAGTCAGGAGGCTACTTGCGAAGAGCTACCTTCGATTAGGTGAATGGCAGACTTCACTACAGCGAGGCGACTGGAAGCCAGAGCATGTTCGTGAGGTTCTCAACGCTTATTCTGCGGCTACCAAATACAATCGCGATTCGTACAAAGCTTGGCACTCTTGGGCATTGGCGAATTTTGAAGTCGTCACGACAATTGCCAGCCAGGCTAGCCGAGATGGCACCGCACCGGCCTTGGTACCGGGCCACATTGTCACCGAGCATGTAATTCCCGCAATCCGCGGCTTCCTAAGGTCAATTTCTCTGTCATCGACATCCTCATTGCAGGATACCTTGCGACTACTCACTCTCTGGTTTACCCACGGAGGCGATCAAGAAGTCAACGCTGTCGTTACAGAAGGATTCACTGCCGTGAACATCGATACATGGCTCGCCGTTACCCCCCAGCTAATCGCACGAATTAATCAGCCGAATATCAGAGTTCGGAGTGCTGTTCATCGATTGCTGGCCGAGGTCGGTAAAACTCACCCTCAAGCTCTGGTATATCCCTTGACCGTTGCGATGAAATCCAATGTTACTCGACGATCGCAATCAGCAAGCAATATCATGGATAACATGCGCCAGCATAGTGCGAGATTGGTCGAACAAGCTGATCTCGTGAGTCACGAGTTGATCCGTGTCGCAGTCCTTTGGCACGAGCTTTGGCATGAAGGCCTCGAAGAAGCCTCCCGACTTTACTTCGGGGACCACAATGTCGAAGGCATGTTCGCAACTCTTGCGCCTTTGCATGAAATGCTTGACAAGGGGGCTGAAACATTACGTGAAGTGTCTTTTGCCCAAGCTTTCGGGCGTGACCTTGCCGAAGCGAAACACTATTGTATGCTGTATCGCGAAACTGAGGAAATCGGCGACCTGAATCAGGCATGGGATCTCTACTACACTGTCTTCAGGAAAATCAGCCGGCAGCTTCCGCAATTGTCCACCCTGGACCTGAAATACGTCTCCCCCAGACTCAAGGACTGTTCGGATCTCGACTTGGCTGTTCCTGGTACATACCAAAGCGGCCGGCCCATCATCCGGATCATGAGCTTCGATCCTATACTGCACGTCCTCCAGACCAAGAAACGACCGCGAAGAATGACACTGAAGGGCAGTGACGGAAATTCTTACATGTATTGCGTCAAAGGGCATGAGGACATAAGACAAGATGAGCGAGTTATGCAACTATTCGGCTTGGTCAACACCCTTCTTGACAATGACGGAGAAAGTTTCAAACGTCATCTGTCTGTGCAGCGATTCCCCGCCATCCCATTGTCCCAGAGTTCTGGTATTTTGGGCTGGGTCTCGAACAGTGATACTCTCCATGCGCTGATCAAGGAATACCGAGAGAGTCGGCGCATCTTGCTGAACATCGAGCACCGTATCATGCTCCAGATGGCGCCCGATTATGACAACCTCGCTCTCATGCAGAAGGTTGAGGTATTCGGGTACGCGATGGACAACACCACCGGAAAGGATCTGTATCGGGTCCTGTGGCTCAAGAGTAAGAGTTCCGAGGCCTGGCTCGAGCGGCGGACGAATTACACTCGGTCTCTCGGTGTTATGTCGATGGTGGGCTACATTCTTGGTCTGGGAGATCGCCATCCTTCCAATCTTCTTCTGGACCGAGTCACTGGAAAGGTTGTTCACATTGATTTCGGTGACTGTTTTGAAGTTGCAATGCACCGGGAGAAGTATCCGGAACGAGTGCCATTCCGACTGACCCGTATGTTGACCTTTGCTATGGAAGTCAGCAATATCGAGGGCAGCTACCGGATCACCTGCGAGGCTGTCATGCGTGTGTTGAGAGAAAACAAGGACTCACTGATGGCTGTTTTGGAGGCGGTAAGTACTTCCATACCGCAATTTATAAATAAACTGAATGATGTGCTAATATGTTCCAGTTCATTCATGATCCTTTGATCAACTGGCGACTAGGGGTGCGCGAGTCCCCCGACCGGATGCCATTCTCATCGGAACGCCGACAGTCAATCATCTCCAACATCAACGTTGATAATGGCGTCCAGCCCAGCAACTTCTCCCGCCACCGTCGGCCTTCGATACTTGAAGGTGGCATACTCGACGCTCAAGAAGGAATCCCGAATGAAGCTCGTGAAGCACAGAATGCACGGGCATTGCAGGTCCTTGCGCGTGTCAAGGAGAAGTTGACCGGACGAGACTTCAAGCCCAACGAAGAGCTCAATATTAGCGACCAGGTCGATAAGCTTCTTGCTCAAGCAACCAGCGTTGAGAACATCTGCCAACACTGGATTGGATGGTGCAGCTTCTGGTAATCGCCTAGTGTTTTGTTCTGTGGGTTTTGACTTTGGAGTCTGAAGACGGCGCAAACTGTGATCTGATGGTGGAATTTTATTTTTCTTAAACATGGCATGGGATAATTTCTCTTCGTCGCACTTTCTTTTCTCATTTCTCATTCTCATTATTTCTCGTTTTATATGTGTAGAATTACCTCTTTTTGTTTATCTTTTTTTATTGATTCCCGTTGCTATGTTCTTTTGGCATGTTGAAAGCTGTGTTCATGACCCTTATCTTGATCATATGGGACGTGTACAGCAGGTACCAATCTAATATAGAGATTGAATTTCCATTACCTGGGCAATTCTGGAGCCAATGCGTATTTTTGATATATATATATATATAAATAAATCTTTCTGTTTATTAGAATATACTCTTCTACGTTAGTAGAGTATTCAGGGAGCACATGAGGCTAAAAACATGCCGGCGACCCAAATAGCCGAGGTCACGAGTGATGCGCTCATCCATCCATTCTTCCCTGTTTCCCCTTGGCCTCTTTCCTCCACACATCGCAGGATGTGAGCCCCAGGACTCAGCCATATCTCGAAGATCTTCCACTTGAAGGGCCCTCCTATTATCGCCCGCATCATGGCATCCGGCTCCACCGGCGATGCGGACACTCAGCCTCACGTCCATCCGGTGGTTCGCAACGCTCTCCGCATTTCTCTAAGCGCCAAGGAATACAAGACGCTGCACCAACTTATGGCTCAACGCGCTCCTTCATTCCAGTCTAAACTGCCATCACCATCAAACTACGAAGCCATCGTCCGATCTAAAAACAGACACAACGTCGCGGCATTTCGCACGTCTGTGCGCGTCTTTCTTCTCTCAGGAGCATCGTTGAAACTTGTTGATCTGGTTGCTCGCAGAATCCGGGGAGAGCTCTCCAGGTACGATGCTATGCTGGCCGATCATGTTTGCCTGACTAACCCGTTCGCATACTTGGATCAATAGCTCCAAAAAAGAACCTCGTGTCTCGCTTTTCCGCTCTCCTAACTTTCGGCTCTCCCTCGCCCTTTCTCTAGTGCTCCTCCTGCATCGACTCCTGCATCGCTTCTTTGCCCGACTACGCGCAAACCTCCGCACCGAGGAGGCCGAGCCGTTTCGCAAAAGGAACCCGCGCATCTCCAGTGCGCTGACTTCGCGATATGCGCCCGCCGTCGGCGCCAGTTTGGCGGGGTTTGCGCTGGGAATCTGTCCCCAAAAGCAGCTCCGGATGTCGGCCGCCATTTACACAACGACCCGGAGTTTGGAATTCCTTTTCAACGTGGTTGACGAGAAAGGCTGGGTCGAGAACCGGCCTTGGTGGTTTGGAAGCTGGCTGTTAATGCCTCTCTCTTGCGCCCAGCTGTTCCACGCTTTTGTTTTTGACCGAGAAGCCACGCCCAAGGTAAGCTAGACTTCGAAATCGCGGTCCCGTCTACTTCGGGGCCATTGTTTACAAGGGGCTGACTGGAAGTAGTGGCTTGGAAACGTCATCATGAGGCTCTCTCCCGCCTACATACATGGTCGACCGGAGACTCTGCCTGCCAATGTCCCTTGGCCTGAGAAGGAAGCCATAGTGGACTCGCTCGCCACTGTTGCGAAGCTGCGATGGCCGTAAGTCCCCTCTCGTGTACTTCCTGGGGCTGACTTTGAGCAACACCAAGTCAATATAGACTCTAACTCTTTCAAATAGAGCATTTATCTCGCCTATCCTCCATCCGGCGGATCCCTACACGTTGCCATCTACGGTCAAAGCCATCTCCCCAATCACAGGACCTGCGCATCCGTCCATTTCCAGTCTGTCATGCGCTCTACTTCATCCCGGCTGCCCGAGCTGCGGCACGACGTTTCTGCATCACCTTCTTCTTTCGGTTCCACCTCTAGCCCGATTTATAACCACGGTGACATTGGCGCTTTCGGCACTGAAGCTTAAGAGTTTCGTCACGCAGCCCATTACCTCAATTAACAATCTCTCGAAGCGAATCATTGCCTTGACGGCCATCCTTTCTGCCTCCGTCGGCTCCGCATGGGGAAGCATCTGCCTCTGGAACTCCATCCTCCCACGGTCTGTTCTTCCGACGCAGCGGTTCTTCCTGAGCGGAGCAGCGGCCGGTTTACCATTTGCGTTCCTTAGCAGCAGCCGTAATATCTTCCTGTACTTTTTCCGCGCGGCCGTGGACTCGGCGTGGAAATCGGGGGTCAAGCGCGGGCTCTGGAAGGGATGGAAGGGCGGGGATCTCTTCGTACTGGTGATCGCCTGGGCTGTCATGGGGTCGATCTTGGAGGCTAGACCCTCCGCGGTGCAAGGCAAAGGAGTACGGAAAGCATTGGCCTGGATGAGAGGGGATGGATACGTAGACCCGGCGGATGCTGCTGCCAAACGGAAGCAGAAGAAGACGGCTGCACAGAAGAACGAGGATGAATCTTGAGCGGGGAGACGAAAGGGCCCCGTGAATGTACTTAGTCTGTTTTCCCCAACCCCTCGATAGCGGGGCGAATACTGCAGCTTCTCAGTAACTACTCCCAGTTTCTGTTCCACGTGAATCCCCTCGGCTTATGTAACCGGGCCAGCCTTCCGCATGAGCCAAAGCAGAAGGAGCCACCGGCGAGCGGACGGGCGTACCTGCCGCTTTGACCAAGACAGCAAGGCTCTCCGTGCGGGGAAAATCACCCCCAACGAAGCTGCCTTCCTCCTTCGCCCTCTCCTTCAATGCTTCCAGCTCGAACTTGCAGTTGGCAGGAGCGGATCTCTACTCTTGTTTCTTTTTCACCCTACGACTGTCTGTGAAAAGCAATCGGATGCGCCCCGAGATCATCATGTCCCAAGCCGGTAATGCACCTCGTTTGCGCAGGAAAGCAATTTCCGACCACTGGGACTGCGCAGCAAATGGATTCCGGGGTAGGAACGAGGTCTCCACTCAACATCCCCAAGCTCCAGCAAGAACCGTTTAGTAAGAGTCCCGATGTGACTGACGGACCTGGACCGGCAACACTAGTTGATCTGCCTGGTCCTGCTTAGGCAAGGTCCTTTCCTCAATTCGACGCCAAGTCCGAAGGGAAACTTGACCGACTTTGCGGTCTCTCGAGGGATGGTCCCCGACCGAATAAATTCCCGGTCGGTCCTCCTCAATTGATTTCTTCTTTGCTTGGATCCTTCAATTCAATTCATCTCCTCATCTCCTCTCCTCTCCTCTCCTTCGATCTTCTCTTCTCTGTCAAGTCTTCCCTCCCGTTCTTCTTCTCTTTTTCCTTCTCAACATCACCATGTCTGCTACCAAGTTGAAGGTTGGCTGTGCTGGTCTCGGCCGCATGGGCAAGCGCCATGCCCTGAACTTCCTTCAACGAACCCCCCGTGCAGACCTCGTCGCGGCTAGCACGCCGGACGACACGGAGCTGGAATGGGCCAAAGTTCACCTCGTTCCTTACGGAGTGAAGTTATACAAGAACTACGATGACATGCTTAAGCACGAGGGCCTGGAAGCCGTTGTCGTTGCTTCTGCTACCGCTGTGCATGCCGAGCAGGCCATCAAGGCCATCGCGGCCGACAAGAACGTCTTGTGTGAGAAGCCGCTGTCCACAAGCGTTGAGATTGTATGTACTCCATCAGAAACAACAAGAGAGAAAAAAAGTCTGGTCAGCTAATACAGTCGTTTTAACAGTCTCAATCCGTCCTTGACGCCGCCGCGAAGAAGCCTCACCTCAAGGTGATGTGTGGCTTCTCCCGTCGCTTCGATGCCTCCTACCGAGATGCCTTCACCAAGATGTCTGCCGGCACGATTGGCTCGCCCTCCGTCATGCGCAGTCAGACATGCGATAAGCTTGACCCGACCGGCTTCTTCGTCGCCTACGCCGAATTCTCCGGCGGAATCTTCGTAGACTGCTCCATCCACGACATCGATCTCGCCCTCTGGTTCTTCGGGCAAGATAGCAAGGTTAAGACTGTGTCGGCTGTGGGTATCACGGCCGTGGAGCCCGATCTCCGCAAGCACAACGACCGTGACAACGCAGTTGGGCTTGTCGAGTTCTATAACGGCAAGATCGCCTACTTCTACGCCTCGCGCATGATGGCTGCCGGCCAGGAAGATACCACCGAAATTGTCGGCACGCAGGGCAAACTGGCCGTGAACACGCAGCCGGCGTTGAACCTGGTCAACATTTACGACAGCGCTGGTATCCGTCGCGAGGTCCCCCAGCACTACTACGACCGATTCGAGTATGCATTCGTTACCGAGGCCAACGAATTCACGGCGTCGTGTCTGGAGAACACTGCCATACCGTTGAAGCTCGAGGGTGCCGTACAGGCTGTGCGCATTGGGGCTGCGCTCCAGGAGGCGCTCATCACGGGACAGAAGATCTTCTTCGACGAAGCGGGTAACCGTGAGGAGAAGTCCCGACTATAGATGCATGACTGTTTGATGACTTCTGATGTACTTGACCGTTTCCTTCCTGTTCTGGCAACCTGAGACATGTTTTACGATAATTGCTTTGTTAGTTCTTTAGTGTTGGTGTCGGAAATAGATTCAAATAGATCGATTGCAATTCGATCGACTTCCCAATGGCTAGAATGTGTTCTCTGTCCAACAAAGCAAATCCGCACACCTGATCCTTGGCCGAATTTGATTCCAGCCGAACAAGCTACAGCTCCCCGGAATATCTAACGAAGACAATCTAAATACCTTGGCCCTCTTCCATATGTAAAGTTTCCGACTTACTGGCAGTTATTCTCTATTATTCTCTAATGTCGCATTTCTATCCATGGATCGCTGTGAAACATATCCTCTTAGAATACCCGTTCGACCCACCGACTCGGGATTCCGTTTCCGAGTCCCATGGGGCAAGTTGGAGAACCGTTGGAAGGAGAAGATTTTTCATGATTCATGCAGTTTTGTGATTAGGCTGTACTACTACAATCTAGAACGTCCATTTCCCGTAGTTTTAGTCAAAACCTACTTTAACATCGAGCATAATTATGAACGGAATGCATATCAAGTAAACAAGACCATATTTATTTTTGGTCTCTTGATTCAATGTATTTGGGTAATTGGTTGGTTTCGAATCGGTTCGTAAATCATCGCTATCATCATGCAGGGTAAAACAAAATTTAGGGAAAAAGCAACAGGAGGCAAAATGAAAGTACATCAGTAACAAGATCAACAGATCAATACAGTCTCTATCGTGTCGAACAATCATAGTATAGACAACATCTTTCCCCTTGTCTACCACTTGAGCACCTTGGTGGGGAAGTATTCGTTGATCAGGTCGAAGTAGTACGGCTAGATGAGGATGGAAGTTAGCTTTGTGTTCTGGTTAGGGGTGTGGAGGAGGGGAAAGCTCTTACCTTCAGCTCCTCGACCGTCGGGACGTCATCACTCTTGCTGTACAAGTCGTAAGGATTGAAGGCCTTGACGGCCTTGAGCATCTCCTTGTCGTGGTCGTTCATGAGCTCGTGGTAAGCGCCCTGGTTGTGCCAGGGGTAGAACGAGTGGTACCGGATCATGGCGAGGGCCTCGTCGGGCAGGGTCGACTGCTCCTTGACGACGTGGTAGAGGTACTCGTCGTGGCCCCACGAGAGCATCACGTTGTCCAGGCCGCAGCCAGGGCTGTAGATGCCGAACTTGCTGCTGTAGATGGGGTGGCCGTAGTCTTCGTTATCCTTGAATGACTCGGTGCCGTAGATGATGCGGTCGTCAAAGCCTAGTCCCACGGGGAAGGTGTCCCCGACAACGTCCCACTGGCCCTGAGCGTCGAAGAAGTACAGCAGCTTGCCCAGGTCGTGGATGAGGCCGGTCAGCTGCATCCAGCGTGGCTTGCCGTCGCGGCGGATGGCCTCGGCGGACTGCAGAAGGTGCTCGATTTGGGAGAGGCTGGTGTCCGGGTCGGACTCGTCGATGAGGGTGTTAAGCTTCTCCATGGCTTCCCAGACGGTCATCTCGGCGCGGGTCTTGGAGTGGAAGTCGTTGCGGGCCTTGAGGTTGTAGGCGACCGTCTGCTTGGTGTGCTGCTCCTTGTAGAAGTTCTTGACGCGGTCGCAGGCATCCTCGTATTGACGGAACTGGGTCTTGTCCTTGTTCTGGTCGAACTCGGAGGCCTCGTACAGGCCCTTCTCCTGCTCCTGCTTCTGCTTCATGTTTGCCTTCAAGACGTTGACGTCGTCAATGGCGTCCGACAAATCCTCAAGGGCCTGTCCATCCCGCTTGGTGTTGAAGACGGGAGCCTCGGGTGACACAGCGACTGGTGCCATTGTGAAGGGTTATGAAAATGTGATTTTATGTATATAATCTTTTGAGTGTCAAATTTGATTTGTTTGGTTCAAACTTGGTAGAATGATTCTGTGGAAGGGAAATTCAAGTTTGTATCAAAGGAACTGTTGTTGGAGAGACAAAACGCTGTGGGAGATGGCGGCATAAATATGGAGGAGCACTGTAGTGGGAAGAGCAATTGTGGAAACATTCCCCGACAGTCCAAGGATCTCCTATTGTCGAATTTGAAACCCCAGAGAATCGAAGACCGATGATCTGCGTGGCCATGACGGTGACACCAGGGCACGATCATGGCCTGCTCATCGGTCGGATTCTGGGTTCCGGGGCTATCAGTTCTGGAAGCGCAAGGGCTGGAGATGATCTCCACCGATGCAGAACGTGGGAGGATCCTGGGGACCAGCCTCAGACCAGGGGACAGATCTGGATCTTGGTGGGGATTGTGATGTCAATCCGCGGGCGTTGGCCGTGGGATGTGCAACGCTTAAGGATTCTGGTTTCCGACGGTCGAATCACCCACGACTGATGAGATTATCTGGCAGATGGTTTGCTGACAGGTGTTTCTTCTTCTGTTTCTTATTTTTGTTATTTTTATCGACATGCAGCTCCCCTCGAAGTCTTCTAAATCGGGCTAGAATCCCCTAGGGGACTGTTGATCCATCTCTTCGTCGTTCTCCGTCCACCTGATGCGAAACGCCGAAAAGATCCCGTTGTCCCCACCATTTCCCGTCGGATGAATAATGGAGTAGTCCAGGTCGGATTCTGGGCATGCGGAGAGGACGGAGACGAGGGGTTCATCATGTCGGGATTCGGTTATCGACCCTGAATTGTTCGGACAGTACGGAGTAGCGAACGTCGAACTGGTTGGCTTCGTTGTCGACGGCATCCATCCGCTTCACGATCGATCTAGGATTCCCATGCACAAAAGAAAACGAGATTAATGGATTCAAGAATGAAATGCCCAGCAAAAGGCGAGAAGATCTTCAAGCTTCGCGGTGAAATAGTCCGAGCAACGGTTATGATTGATGGAGCTTCGGGCGGAGTTGCTCCGGCGCAGGTCGATGGAGGGGCAGCGCGGGGGGGGAGTTTTCTCTTGTATTAGTATGAGCATCGGCTCCTCTTCTCTTTCCTCTCTGCTTTTCTCTTTCAATTTTTTAAAGTCTCTTCTCCCT